CTGATAGTTGACGACCCGTTCACGTCCTTCGTCGTCAAACTGCATCAGCGCACAGCCGATGGCAAAGTCGCTCGCGTCGCAAACGACGTGATATGGTTTCGAGTCGTCGGGAAGAGCTAGGTTTGCCGCCTCAGCAAGGCTCTTCTTCACTGAGTCGAAGGCGGCTTGGTGCGCGGGTGACCAGACCCATGTGGCATCTTTCTTCAGGAGTGATGAGAGGGGCTGGATCAGTCCGGCGTAATTCTTCGTGTACTTGTGGAGATAATTTGCTAGTCCCAACCACTGGCGCAACTCAGTGGGGTTCTTTGGTGTCGGCCATGCGCAGATAGAGGACACCTTCTCCGCGTCGGCGCGAACGCCGTCCTTGCCCACGAAGCAGCCCAGCACCGGAATCTCCGGCGCGCAGAAGATACACGTCTTCAGGTTCGCGCACAGCTTGTTCTCGCGCATCACTTGGAAGACCTGTTTTAAGTGCCTCAAGTGGACTTCGATCGCGCTGAGACCACCTTCAGCGCGGCTGTGCACGAAGATGTCGTCGAAGTAGCTCGGTGCGAAGTCTCGAAGCGGACGCAGCACATGGGAGACCATGCGATTGAACGTGGCGGGAGCATTCTTCAAGCCTTGTGGCATCACAAGCCACTCCCAGAGCATACCGCTGGGGGTGCTGACCGCTGTCAGAGGAATGTCGCTCGGTCTCATCAAGATCTGATAGAATCCGTCGGTCAAGTCGATGGCGCTGAAGACGACACTGCCCGCCATGGTGTCGAGCACCATGTCCTTCCGTGGAATGTGGGTTTGCGCGGGGATGGTCGCATCATTCAACTTGTTAAAGGCATGAGCGATGCGCCATCCGCCTGTGGCCTTCTTCACACAGAACGTTGGGCTCGAATGTGGAGAGACACTCTCACGCACGTGACCCGCTTTACGGCGATTCTCGAAGAAGTCGTCGATGGCCTTGACTTAATCTCGTGGCAGCGGCCACTGCCGCGTCACACAGTACTTCGAACCAGGCGCGAGATCGATCTCGTGGCGGACGCCTCGATCGGCAGGCAGTTCGGCTGGAATCTTATCGGGGAAGACGTCCGCGTATTCGCGGACGGTCTCGTGCACTGGATTACCAGACTCGCGCAAGGACTCCCAGGACTGCGCTGCGAATCGCTCCTCGCGAGCGGACTTCGGTTCGGCGCTCTTGGGACGGGTGGATCCGTCGTCATCACTGACGGTGTTCCCTTCGAGTGGCGTAGACGAAGTGTCTGTGATCAGGCAGACCTGCTCAACCTCGCCAACCTTGAGACCACGAAGGAAGTTCTTCCAGGAGAGACCTGGAAGCCGGGTGATCGATTGAGCTTCGCGAGGTGGACACGCAAGATCGACGGTGCGCTGACGGCCCAAGCCGTCGTCCACGTGCTCAATGACACAGACCGACTCCGTCTGTGAGATGCCGCTCGGTGCAGTTTCACGTCGTGGCTTCAAACGACGGCGCTTCGCCTTCTTTGCCCGGCGCCTCGAGTGTGTACTCGAGGAGGAAGAATCGCTCTCGCTGGACGATGTATCACCCCGCTCTAGGCACTGAAGCTCACTCTCGACTGTGCCGGTCACACGCGGGGGCCACTGCTCGACCGCGTGATCGTTCGGCGGGAGATCCAACTGCTCGACCACCGGCTCGGGTGACGGGAGCCTCGACTGCTCGACCGCCGTGTTGCATTGCGGGAACCCATGCTCGACCGCCATATTGTGCTGCGGGAACTCATGCTCGACCGCTGTGGTGCGCTGCGGGAACCCATGCTCGACCGCAGTTGTGCGCTGCGGGAACCCATGCTCGACCGCTTGCTCGTATTGCGGGAGCCCCTGCTCGACCGCTTGCTCGTATTGCGGGAGTTCCCTGCTCGACCGCCATCGTGTTCTTGCCCTCGCCTCGCGGCGAGGAGTCTTCGTGCAACAGCACTGCGCAAGCCGTGCAGAGAGGGCCATCGCTCACTCTGTGTACAGCCTGCGTCGTGGACGACCGGTCCACGACGGTGTGGGGCCAGTCCTTCTGGGCAACCAGGAGGTGGGTGAACACCTCGCTCACGTCGAAACCGCTGCGGTGTTTAACCGAGCGGGCCAACCAGTCAATCTCTGGTTGATACCGTGACAACCACGGGATGCCCAGGATGCAATCGAATGCGTAGTTCATCTCAATCACGAGGAAGTCGTCATTGCTGCGAAAGCCGTCGAAAGTGTACGGCAACGTAATCTCGCACCGCGCGACGTGGCGCGGCTTTCCGTCAGCAAGCTTGACTACAACCTGTCCGCGACTGTTGCGGACAGCGATTTCGCTGGGTAGCGTCGACAAACACGACTCACGGAAGAAGTTGTTTGTCGCTCCTGAGTCCACAAGCGCGCGTAGTGGACGTCGGGCGCCGGCGACATGGAGGCTGATGATGATCAGTCTTGAGTCGCCCGACGCTGTGGTGGCATTGAAGTGTGCGTGTAGCACACGAGGGCTAGAAGGTTGGGTTGCCACTGGGGGACCCGGACCTCCATTCCAGCCAGTAGGGCGCCCCGCACCTACTGGCCCTGGCCGTTTTTTTGGCTGATCGGTAGGAGAGGCATCGACGGTATGCGCGAGTACTGGCGCGGGCGCGCGGCACTCAGCCGCGCGATGTCCAACCTTCCGACAGCGGAAGCAAGTGAGGGATCGACTGGGACGACCACCATTCGCACGAGGGACTGCACGACGGCGGTTGTTCGACGCGTCAATCGCGTCGATCTCCATCGGCTCCGGAGGTGACTCTTGAGCTTCCGCGGACATTGCCCGAGCGTACGACGCCGCCACAACGTAGTCTTCACGAAGTGCGAGAGCAAATTCCTCCTCGAGAGAGGAGGGTTCCGCTCGAGTCAGACAGTATCGCGTCATGCCTTCACGCATGCCGAACACAAAGACGTGGACTTGAGATGCCATGTCAATCGGATTGGTGACGATGCAGGACGCGAGGTGGCGTGTCTTTTGGACGTAGTCGCGCATGGACATCTTGTCTTGTCGCAGAGCGAAGAACTCTGCGCGCACTCGGGACTCGTCTTGTGGAGGCTCGAAGGCGAGACGAAGATCACTCTGGAGGGCCTCCAGGGTGGATAACGCATCGTTGTTGACGACCAGTTTGCCGAGTGCCCACTCCTTGTCTTTCCCGGCCAGTCGGGAAAGTAAGAAGTTAACTTTGCTCCTTGCGCCTCGATCATCCTCGAGGCGATAGCGATGTCGATTTCGCGAAACCAGCGATTCAACGGAAGGCGATTCGCTCCTTCACCGGAGTAGGTTGACGTCTCCAACTTGACTATGTCATTCTTCGAGAAGCGCGAGGGAGTTGTCGCTCGCCGATTCGCATCGGCGAGCTCGCGTTCCATGAACTCTTGAGCTGCTTGACGTTGATGATCGGGAGTCGCTGAGCTCAGCAGACGCGACAACAACCTCACCGGACACCGCCGCAAGGCGGTGAAAATATTCCCACTCGACACGAGTGAGATGAGGGAAAGCAGCATGCTCAAGGGTCGACCCTGAAGCTTCAGACGTCCGGCCTTGGCTCATTGTGAACTTGGTCATGGGAAGGACTACAAAGTGCTACCAGATGTAACGGGCCTAGAGTGTCCGTTACTAGCTTACACGTAATAATGAGGAAGCGTGCAAGTTCCACGATAGTGAATCCAAGTGCTTAGTCTGAAGGAAAATCAACTCTGTTTTTATTTAGGTCCAGGGCAGCTTGCCCTGACCACTCAAATACAAGTCAACCCCTCATTGGCTGATAATGGGTCTGGCTCCCCATATATCAACCAATAGGATGACGGCAGTTCAGCACACGCTAGCCGTGTGCTGCTGCACCTACTTTTGTAATATAAATCTACCTACTCATGTAATGGTGTGGCCCACTACAAGGGACGCCGTGATCTCCCGTATCGCTTGAACGTACTCGTGCAGCTCGCGCCTTCCTTGCTTGAACGAGAGGAAGCGCGAGCGCTGCCGGTACTCGTAGTTCGCTGGGAGAAACGCGGCTCAGCTGTTCGCACAGATGAGCCCAGGGTATGAAACATCCAGGCGATGTCGCACCCGCGTGTACACCCAACGCTTAGCACAACCGCTAGGGCTGGAGAGTGCAAAAACAACACGGTGTTGCTCGGTCGAGATCAGAGCCGCGTCCATCGCAAGCTCTACTTCTCTAACACAGAAGTGAAGGCTCTCACCTTCCTTCCCTTCGTACGGCTTCACCTTCAGCCGCATTGGCTTCGGGTGTGACGGGTTTGTTTCCGCCGCCGGAGCCTGCAGGTTTACCCGCACATGTGCGATGAGCCCCTGCTCGTAGACGTCAAGCGCATTGACACGCTCGAGCTGCTCGGCCGGCGTTGACGCCACCAGGCTCTGCAGGGCCTCCATCCAGAAGATGCCAGCCATCTTCCGACCCGAGTCGAGCTTTAAGTCGTTCATATGGGAGAAGTCGTTCCTATCCGTGGCGACGAGCTTCAGAGAGGTCCAGGTAGTCTACCCGCGTTGGCGTGGATTGACTACAGGTGCTACCAAGTGTGACAGGGTCACACAGCACCTTGCGCTAGAGGAAGTTTACTTTCGAGAGTATACAAACTCTCAGTAAACGGCAGTTCACAGGCCCTTTTGCCTAAGGGAGCGAAGTGACCAATTCAAGGCAAGTTGAAAACTGAATACATTTAAAGGTAGGCTAAGCTTGAGTTAAGCAAACAAACTTTAAGTCACCTATAGGAAAGCAATGTCATCAGCCAATGGTTGGCCTCGGACGACCCAGGTACCATGTACATGTACCAGATATTCCGAAGTGTGACGTGTCACTAACAAGGGTACACTTGAGGCTACGTACCCCGTTACAGTTTTAGATTACCGGTACCAAATTTGACCCTTCGCTCCCAGCAACTTGCGAGCAACCTAAGCTCCCTAGCCTACCCCACTTTCCCGCCTAATTTTAAATACTTATATTTTGGTCGGGACCGTCGGGTATAGCATCAATCTTGCAGCACTGCGCTTTATATCGGCTGCCTTTGGCAGGCGCCATTTAAGGAGTAGGTTTAGTCGTCGGTGAACGTAGAACAAAACGGACAGTTGCAGTTTCAGCCTCAAAGAGCGAGTCGTTTCTTTTCCTGTTGATCTAATTTTGTCCAGACTCCATTCACTCCGGTGCCAGCGCATTCTCATATCTCCTGTCTAGCTCAGCAACGACTCCTGGAACCGAGTAGGCTTCATTACCCAGCTTTCTCCTCGCTTCCTCCGTCTTCCAACTTCAACAACTTCAAAATGCGTGAGGTCATCTCCATCCACCTCGGCCAGGGCGGCATCCAGACGGGCAACGCATGCTGGGAACTCTACTGCCTCGAGCACGGTATCCAGCCTGATGGCCAGATGCCCAGTGACAAGACCATCGGCGGAGGAGACGACGCCTTCAACACTTTCTTCTCCGAGACCGGTGCCGGCAAGCACGTTCCACGTGCTGTGCTTGTCGACTTGGAGCCCAGTGTCTGTGACGAAGTGCGCACCGGTACCTACCGCCAGCTCTACCACCCGGAGCAGATCATTTCCGGCAAGGAGGATGCCGCCAACAACTACGCGCGTGGTCACTACACCATTGGCAAGGAGATCGTCGACCTGGTGCTGGACCGCATCCGTAAGCTGGCCGACAACTGTACGGGCTTGCAGGGTTTCCTGGTCTTCAACGCCGTGGGCGGTGGCACTGGCTCCGGTCTCGGTGCGCTGCTACTAGAACGTCTGTCGGTCGACTACGGCCGCAAGAGTAAGCTCGGCTTCACCATCTATCCGTCGCCGCAGGTGTCTACAGCCGTCGTGGAGCCGTACAACTCGGTGCTGTCCACGCACTCGCTGTTAGAGCACACGGATGTGGCCGTGATGCTCGATAACGAGGCTATCTACGATATCTGCCGCCGTTCTTTGGACATCGAGCGTCCGACGTACACGAACCTGAACCGCCTGATCGCCCAAGTCATCTCATCGCTGACTGCGTCTCTCCGTTTCGACGGTGCGCTGAATGTCGATGTGACAGAGTTCCAGACGAATCTGGTGCCGTACCCGCGTATCCACTTCATGCTCAGCTCGTACGCACCGGTGATCTCGGCCGAGAAAGCCTACCACGAACAGCTGTCGGTGGCGGAGATCACCAACAGCGCGTTCGAGCCTGCATCCATGATGGCCAAGTGCGACCCTCGTCACGGCAAGTACATGGCTGCCTGTCTGATGTACCGCGGTGACGTTGTCCCCAAGGACGTCAATGCTGCCGTGGCCACCATCAAAACCAAGCGCACCATCCAGTTCGTGGACTGGTGCCCAACGGGTTTCAAGTGCGGCATCAACTACCAGCCTCCGACGGTTGTGCCTGGCGGTGATCTGGCCCGTGTGCAGCGTGCCGTGTGTATGATCTCCAACACGAGTGCCATTGCCGAGGTGTTCTCGCGCATCGATCACAAGTTCGATCTGATGTATGCGAAACGTGCTTTCGTGCACTGGTACGTCGGTGAGGGCATGGAGGAAGGTGAATTTTCGGAGGCACGTGAAGATCTTGCGGCTCTGGAGAAGGATTACGAGGAGGTGAGTGCGGAGACCGCCGAGGGCGAGGGTGAGGAGGAGGAGCTGGGCGAGGAGTACTAGGCAGACTCATTTTCTTAAATTGATCTTTACAGGCACTCACTTTTTCAGTGATGCTAGTAAATAACATGTGTTAGAACCATGAAATACCAGCTTCTCCTTCTACTACCCATTTGCTATCCCTCAGTAGCACAGCGTTGTTGCAAGTCAACATTAGAAGGGCAGTCGATCAAGTACTATCAGGAGTTCAACAGCCCCCAGTAACGGACAAAGTTGTTGGCCTCCAAGGTAACGGACAGAGTTGGTGGCCTCCAAGGTGGCTCCTAGCGGACAAATTCCTGATTCGTGCTCAAATGTGTAAAGCTAGAGCCCTGATGTCATTATTCAGTATCAAGACCGAAACGGAGGCAACGTTTCTACTACATGTAGAATCTTTCAACGGAGCGATCGTTGCTCCAGCTTTAATATAGAAGAAGCTTTCCAGCTTCACTTACAAAAAACAAGTTAAAAAAACGACTGGCACACTTCAATGATGGGTCGCTCTAAGATTGCAAATCGCACCCCTTCGTTCCCCCACGCAAAATCCGTCCCACGGCCAGACACCAGTAACTTGACGCAAGGATCTCGCCGACAGTGGGTCCCACTCTCCATTTTGCAACGGGTCAGCCGAGACGAGCTGAAACCAACTTAAACCGACCCGAGCTACCCCAGCGCAAATGGAGCCTACTGCCTACGGAACAACCTCCTTGGCGGTCGATGAGCGACTAACCAGCCAGATGAACGGCAAACGCCAGGCTTTCGTGAAGTGGGGTGTCTTTGGACTGGCCACGTGTGGCATCTGCAGTACGTTGGCCTTGATGGGGACCAGTCCGGTTCATCAAGACGCAATCGCCGAAGCGATGCGAGCGACATCGAGTGCGTTCAAGACTGCCGATCCTGCTGTGGATGCGGAGGTCACGTGTTTCCAGAGCTCCTATATTGACAACGTCACTCGGATGATGAAACCGATCACCGACTTGAAGTGGAAGCGTGGAGGTCAGAAGAATGCAAGGTCATATATTGCAATCGACCTGGAGAGAAAATATCAGGAGATCATGGGCTTCGGAGGTGCCTTCACCGAAGCGGCCGCTCTGCAGTTCCAGAAGCTATCCCCGAAGAAGCAGGAGGAAATCTTGACACTGTACTTTGACACGGAGAAGGGCAGTGCATATAATTTCGGTCGCGTTCCGATGGGTTCTTGTGACTTTTCAGTCGACTCGTACAGCTTCGATGACGTGCTGAACGACACCAAATTATTGCACTTTGACATGAGTGTCAAGCGCGACCAACACGTACTGATCCCGTTCATCAAACGCGCTTTGGAGCGCCAGCCAGAGATGAAGCTGTTCCTGGCCCCGTGGAGCCCACCGGCCTGGATGAAGCGCGGTAGTGACGAGTACAAGCCTAGCCTGCTTGGGTCCATGGATCCTGTAGGACTGAAGGACAACATGCGAGCAGCTTGGGCTCTGTACTTCTCCAAGTTCATCACTGCGTACAAGAAACAGGGCATCCCGTTCTGGGGGATCACGCCTCAGAATGAGCCCGAATTCGCTGCACCGTGGGAAGCGTGCAAGTACAACGCCTCGTACCAGGCAGAATTCATTGGTGACTTCCTTGGCCCCGTCCTCGCGCGCGACCACCCTGAGGTTACGCTCATGGTATTCGACCACAACCGTGCTAGTGTTCGTCATTGGGCCGAGGAGATATACCACCACCCCACTGCTGGACAGTACGTGGATGGCATGGCTTTCCACTGGTATGACATGGAGCGCTACATGGACGGAGTGGCGTATCACGAACGTCTAAACGACACGCACTTTATCGACCAGAACCGCTTCATGTTGGCTACGGAGAGCTGCAACTGTCCTGGCGTCGCGTACGGTGACGCTGCTTGGTTCCGCGGACAGCGTTACGGCCATGACATCATGACGGACCTGAACAACCATGTTGTCGGTTGGGTCGACTGGAATCTGCTGCTTGACCACAAGGGAGGACCCAACCACAAGGGAAACAATTGCGACGCTCCAATTATTCTGACTGAGGATGGCACGGATTTCAACATCCAGCCTATGTACTACTTCATCCAGCACTTCTCCAAGTTTATTCCTGTTGGCTCGCGTCGCGTGAAGACTCACGTGGCCGCCCGCTTCGAGAAACCTGGTGATGCTCAACTCATGTGGGCCTACCCTGCTGCTCTTACATCCTGCGATGGAAGCGCTCGGCAGACGATGCACGCGACTGACAATAAAAAAATCGAAGTCACTGGATCTGGTTTCTGCTTGGGTATGGTCGATGCGGTGTGGCAGGGCAAGGAGATCCAATTGGTACAGTGCAAGTTCACGCAGCAGACGTGGACGTTCGAGGAGGATACCGGACGTATTCGTGTGAATGATTACTGCTTGTCACTCAACCACGGGTCCACGGAGAACGGGGCACGGCTGACTGCATCTCGATGTAAAGCTGAAATTGTGCCTCACCAGCAGTGGACGTTCAACGAGGACGGCACGCTGCGCTCACGTGCGTCTACAACCGACCAGTGCGCGACTGGCGGGTACTCGTTCGTACAGGCCACTACGTTCGTGACTCCTGAGGACCGCAAGGTGCTCGTTGTACTGAACGAGAACACAGAAGCGGCCGACTTTGAGATCCAGGTCGGGGATATGACGCTTGAGACTAGCATCCCTAAGGGTGCCATCCGCACGTTCACGTGGATGTAGGTTCTAGCATGAATGACGCCCATTTATTATGCATTTCCGGCGGGGAAATGGCTATCAATCAATACATGAACGTAGAGAAGCATTGCACAATTTAGTAACATTCCCTCAAATACACTGGATTAGATGCGATCAAAACGTTGAAAGATACAAGTTGAAGCCGCCACTGGTTCGAATCAGGCAGTGCAACAGAAGCCCTGATACGCAACTTTACCGCAACATAAGGTTAAAGCTGGGCGATCTTCCAGCAGCCAGTATCCATTTCGCCAGCGAATTGACAAGCGGGGAGTGAGACTAAATGGCATCACGCTCGGAGCCGACAGCTTATGGCACGAGCTCGCTCGCAAGTGACGACCGGCTGAGTGCTCGCTCTGCTGCTCGACGCAAGTGGATTAGATGGGGGATCATTGGTGCGTCTACGGGTATAATCGTCATTGGATTGGTGGTTCTGGGAATCGCTTTCCACTCGACGGGTTCGACTGGGTCCATTGCAGCACCCAATGATGAAGAGATCAAGTGTTTCCAGAGCTCCTACGTCGACAATGTGACCGACATGATGGAACCGATCAAAGGCCTTAAGTGGAAGTATGGGGGCAAGAAGGACACGGAATCGTTCATCTCCATCGACGTTAACACCAAGTTCCAGGAGATCATGGGCTTTGGCGGTGCATTCACGGAGGCAGCAGCGCTGCAGTTCCATAAACTGCCGAATGACAAACAAGAGGAGGTGCTAACGCTCTACTTCGACAAGGAAAAAGGCAGTGCGTACAACTTCGGTCGTGTACCCATGGGGTCCTGTGATTTCTCAGTGGGATCGTACAATTTCGCCGAGACGGAGAATGACATGGAACTAAAGGACTTTGATGTTGACGTGAGCCACGACACGGAGATGCTGATCCCATTCATCAAGCGTGCGTTGGACCGTCAACCGGGCATGAAGATGTTTTTGGCTCCGTGGAGTCCACCAGCTTGGATGAAGCGATCGAGTTCCGACTACAACGCCAGCATGTTGGGGTCAGTGAAGCCTGTCGGACTGAGAGACGACATGCGCGCTCCCTGGGCTCTGTACTTCTCCAAGTTCATCACTGCGTACAAGAAACAGGGTATCGACTTCTGGGGCCTCTCTCCTCAAAACGAGCCCGAGTTCGCAGCGCCATGGGAAGCCTGCGCATACAATCCCGAGTATGAAGCTGAGTTCATTGGCGAGTTTCTGGGTCCCGTACTTGAACGCGACCATCCTGGTCTCACACTAATGGTGTTTGACCACAACCGTAACAACGTGCAGCACTGGGCTGAAGTGATCTACAACCACCCCACCGCTAGCAAATACGTCGATGGTATGGCCTTCCACTGGTACGAGGATGGCGGCGAACGCTACATGGATGGTGTGGAATACCCCGAACATCTGAACGACACTCACTTCATCGATCAAAACCGCTTTATGCTGGCGTCTGAGAGCTGCAACTGTCCTGGTGTCGCTTTCGGCAATGACGCGTGGTTCCGTGCCCAGCGTTACGGCCACGATATTATGTCGGATCTGAACAACCACGTAGCCGGTTGGGTTGACTGGAACTTGCTGCTTGATCACACTGGTGGGCCGAACCACAAGGGCAATCTGTGTGACGCTCCCATCATCTTGACGAAGGATGAGACGGATTTCATCATCCAGCCAATGTTTTACTTCATCCAGCACTTCTCCAAGTTCATTCCCGTTGGATCTCGACGTGTGGATGTTCACGTTGCAGCTCAGTTTGACAAACCTGGTGACGCACAGTTGTATGTCGACTATCAGTCTTCTCTTGCGACTTGTGACGGTAGTTCGCGCCAGACGATTCACAAGACGGACGACCACAAGATGCAGGTGACCAACACGCCGTTCTGTCTCAACATGGTGCCAACTCCGAGCGAAGGACGTGAGATCCGATTGGTGGAGTGTCAGTGGACGCAACAGACGTGGACGTTTGAGGAAGACACGCATCGTATTCGCGTCGATGACCACTGTCTGTCATTGAGTCGTGGCTCGACGGAGAACGGTGTGCGTACTACGGCGGATAAGTGCGAGGCGGATGTGGTACCGCACCAGCAGTGGAAGTTCAATGCGGAAGACGGAACAATGCGCTCGCATGCGTCGACGTCGAACCAGTGTGTGACGACGGGATACTCGTTCGTGCAAGCTGCTGCGTTCGTGACGCCTGAGAACCGCAAGGTGCTGGTAGTGCTCAACGAGAACACAGAGTCGGCGAAGTTCCAGATGCAGTTTGGTGATGCAGCGCTAGATACGTCGGTGCTGCCGGGCGCCATTCGCACGTACATCTGGTAAATGGAGTTGGTGATGGTAGTGGCAAACTTTGTCCAAGCAACTTGGACTTGGCTAAAAGTTGGGAACCGAAAATAAAGAAAGATTACTGTCCCGTTTTTTTGCATACTTCCGCCACCAAAAGTATCAGAATGCCATTTAGCGGTAGCAAGAAGTGTGCGTTATGTGACACATATCTTCCAGCCCCTTCAAGCACAAGCCTCCATAGTCCATCCAAATCAAACGCACCCTTCAGCCGTCACCACCAACAGTCCCATTTGACTCAGCCACATCGAGCTCACTTTTGAATCGTCCGAGTTGAGCGTAAGTCCTGGAGGATCAAAATGACGACGGAGCCCACAGCATATGGCACCAGCTCCCTGGCGAGCGATGAGCGTTTAAGTGCGCGTGCAACCCGGAGACGGTCCATCCTCAAATGGAGTCTCATGGGGCTTGCCATCTGTGCCGTAGTTGCCGTCCTTGCAGTCATCGGGATCGTTGCGCTGCCGGAAGATGCCGCGGTAGCACCCGTTAAGACGACGGAGGCCACGCCGAGCTCCAAGGCTGCACCAGATTTAGATACCGAGGTGGCGTGCGTCCAGAGCTCATACGTGGCTAATGCGACCAACATGATGGAGCCCATCACAGGCTTAAAGTGGACGCACGGCGCACAACCCAACGCCAAATCTTTTATTATTGTGGATGTGAACACCAAGTTCCAGGAGATTATGGGCTTTGGTGGAGCATTTACCGAGGCTTCAGCGCTGCAGTTCTATAAATTGTCGAAGGAGAAGCAAGAAGAGTTGCTGACGCTCTACTTCGACAAGAACAAAGGCAGCGCGTACACTTTCGGACGCGTCCCCATGGGCTCCTCGGACTTCTCGCCCAGCTCGTACAGTTTTGACGACGTGGTCGATGATATGGACCTGGAACACTTTGATAAAGAAGTAAAACACGACCAGGAGGCGCTCATCCCATTCATTAAACGCGCACTGGACCGTCAACCGAATTTGAAGCTCTTCCTGGCGCCGTGGAGTCCTCCAACGTGGATGAAGCGTGGATCGCTCAACTACGAGCCTAGTATGCTCAACTCGGCCAAGCCTATTGGACTAAAGGACGACGTTCGAGCGACCTGGGCGCAATACTTTTCGGAATTTATCACTGCGTATAAGAAGCACGGTATCGATTTCTGGGGCCTCACGCCTCAGAATGAGCCGCAAGCGGAAGTTCCTTGGGAATCGTGCATGTACACAGCTGAGTATCAGGCTGAGTTTATTGGAAACTACCTAGGCCCCGTGCTGGAACGTGACCATCCCGATCTTGTCCTCATGGTCTTCGATCACAACCGCGGCAGTGTCCGTCAATGGGCAGAAGAGATTTACAACCACCCGACCGCTGCCCAGTACGTGGACGGTATGGCTTTCCACTGGTACGATGACGAACGCTACATGGACGGAGTGGAGTACCACGAGCGCTTGAACGACACGTACTTCATTGACCAGAACCGCTTCATGTTGGCTACAGAGAGCTGCAACTGTCCTGATGTGGGCCACGGAGATCTTGCTTGGTTCCGTGCACAGCGTTATGGCCATGATATCATGACGGATCTCAACAATTACGTGGCTGGCTGGGTCGACTGGAACTTGATTCTGGACCACAAGGGAGGACCCAACCACTTGGCGAACATGTGCGACGCTCCTATCATTCTGACGGAGGATGAGAAGGACTTTTTCATCCAGCCGATGTATTACTTCATCCAGCACTTCTCCAAGTACATTCCTGTTGGCTCTCGACGCGTTAAGACGCAAGTGGCCACTCGCTTTGCCCAGCCAGGTGACCCACAGCTGTATGTTGACTACCCGTCGATGTTGGCGGCATGTGACGGCAGCTCACGACAGAAATGGCGACCGACTGACGATGGCAAGTTGGCGGTCACTGGTACTGACTTCTGTATTGATCTCAAGGAGATCCCGTGGCAAGGACACCAGGGCTTGTTGGTGGACTGCCGATACACGCAGCAGCATTGGACGTACGAGACCGACACTGGCCGCATTCGTATGGGCGACTACTGCATCTCGTTGAACCACGGCTCCACGGAGGATGGAGTGCGTATCAGCACTGACTTGTGTGAGGACGGCATCGTGCCGTATCAACAGTGGAAATTCGACGCTGAAGACGGCACGATGCGCTCGCTTGCGTCGACGACGGACCAGTGTGTGACTGCCGGTTATGCTTTCGTGCAAGCCAGTGCCTTTGTGACTCCGGAGAACCACAAAGTGCTTGTGGTGATGAATGAGAACACGGAGCCAGCTGACTTCGAGTTGCAGGTTGGCGGTGTGGCACTGGAGACGACGGTGCCGCCCGGAGCTATCCGAACCTTCACCTGGGAGTAAGAGAATGGTCTGCGAGTGTGAGTGGAAGGAAAGGTACGCAAAGAGGGTGTAAACATCAACACGACCGCCTCTTGCACAGTTCGGTACATTGTTCAAACGTCAACTTGGTTTCTTCATGTCTGCAGGATCAATCGACAGGTCTCGTAGCAGGTCATTCCAGAGATCCCGATCGTATGGGTCCGCTTCGTTTCCAGCGCCACTACCCAGCGGGTGATACTCCTGTTCGTCAGGGTTGTAGTTGTCTGGCGTTTCGATCTGCATCTCTAGTGGCACTTTGCGCTTCTTTGGTCTCATCTCGAACACCTCGATCGCTTCTTTCAGATAATCCGCATCCAGCTCCGTCTTGGGCACTTCCTTCCACTGGAAATACGAATCCAAATGTTTCATAAATTCCGCTCGCACTACCGGTGCACGACGCTCATTAGCCAAGAAGATGACAGTCTTGCGGTGTGACAGAGCTAGCAATGACTGCACCAACGGCTTCACACACGCCTTCTCGTACACCACGTCAGCACACAAGATGCAGTCGAATGGCGCCTTAAGATTCGTCACGGGCGTGCCCCTGCAATCGATGAACCATAAAATACCGTCAGCATCTCTGCCGTGCTTTAATTAGATGCAGCATTGCCCGCCGTACCAAGCGTGTTGCTCCACGCGCACGCGCTGTAGCTCTTTGTCGGTCAGGTTTTCCCTTACGTTGCGTCGCAGCCACGGAAGGACCGGGCCAATGTCCGTGAGCACCACATCGGCCAGTCCACCAGTGACAATCGCACTGGCGATGCCTGCGAGACCTCCACAGCCCGCGCCAAGTTCACAGATAGACGAGAAACGCTGGAACCGCTCGGGGCGCTGCTCGATGAATTTGAGGAGGGTCTTGCTACTGTCCCATACGGTCGTTCCCAGCACAAACGAGTCCGGATCCTGCTCGACAGACACCACACGATCTTCGCCGATTGGCACCTCCACTAAGCGCGCCCAGTGTGTGAACGAGGACTCGAGCGCCAGCGGCTCCGACGTCGTCAGCGCCTCCTCCGCCATTAGAAGATGGAAGATGGCTTCAAAACACGCGACTTGTACTTTGTCACTCAAACGAGGAACGGTTATAATGACCTTGAAGGCAGTTCCTGTTGATGCATCAAGTCGTCATTATCCGATACGTCTATAGCCGAGCGCCATGGAGCACACGCAGTGGACAGCACCAGCGCGTACGCTTCGCTATTGCTGCACTGAATGTAATTCTGGAGATTGAACCTTTGACTCGTTGATCGTATGCTGTTAAGAGGAGCGAAGGGTATTGAAGCGCCACGAGGCTGCGGCTCAACAGCGCGTGCTGCAGCTGGAGCAAGCTCGACAAACTCACCAGATTTCCCCCGGTATTTTTGTATTGCATATTGAATCAGTGTCATTTGGTTATAACCACACTTGTTTTGTTTGTGTTTTTCAGATGCCTACCATCATCAGGTGCGAAGAGCTGAAAGCGGTAGAACTATTGGAAGAGATTTCTTATCTAAGTTTTGTAGCTGCACTTGTCGTCGTTCTCGTACTTGGCCAATGTGATGGCGCTTCGACGACAAAAGCTGCAGGCCCAGCCGCAGTTTCAGTATGTTGCGCACATTCTTTTATTGATTTATTGTGTCTGGAGCTGATAGTTTTGTGCTTGTTGCGTTGCAGGCGCAGCATGTACTAAAGCTTACACCAAGCTACCCGTGCATGTCAGTTTGAAATCCGTACTTTGACATGGCTTGTCTTTCATTATTTCCAATCAATGCTGCCGTTCTTTGCTGTTACCTCGTGGTGATGCTCTTATGGCTGTCTTGTTGTACCTTTCTACCACAATTGCTTCATCGTTTAAGCCCAGACATACGTGCGGATGGCACCCGGGGCGATTGTCGTGTTCAGCACTGCATTGCCGGCCTGCACCTGGAAGTCTGCCGGCTCTGTGTTCTCATTCAACACCACGAGAACCTTGCGGTTCTGGGGCGCCACAAATGCTACTGCTTGCACGAACGAGTAGCCCGCCGTCACGCATTGGTCTGAAGTCGACGCATGTGAGCGCATCGTTCCGTCCTCCGCGTGGAATGCCCACTGCTGGTGCGTAGTCACCTCATCCTTGCACTTATCCGTCGTGATACGCACGCCGTCCTCCGTCGATCCATGATTCAGCGACAGACAGTAGTCTTCGATACGGATACGCTGAGTCTCCTTCTCAAAAGTCCACGTCTGCGGAGTCCACTGACACTCCACCAAGCGGACTTCATGGCCTCCAGTCGGAGTGTTCACCAAGTCCAGACAGAGTGGTGTCCCCGTTACCTGGATCTTGTTGTCTTCCGTTCTGTGGATCGTCTGTCGTGAACTTCCATCGCAACTGTCAAGAGAAGATTGATAGTGAACGAAGAGCTGAGCATCGCCAGCTTTGGCGAATCGAGCTGCAACTTTCGTCTTGACACGTCGAGATCCTGGCGGGATGAACTTGGAGAAGTGCTGGATGAAATAGTACATTGGTTGGACGAAATAGTCGTCTCCACTTTCAGTCACGATAATGGCAGCATCGCAGACGTTGCCCTTATGATTCGGACCGCCCGTGTGGTCGAGGATCAAGTTCCAATCGATCCATCCAGCAGCGTAATTGCTCAGATCCGACAGAATGTTGTGACCGTAGCGCTGGCCTCGGAACCAGGCTTCCTCGCCGACTGCGACCCCAGGACAGCTGGAACTCTCTGAGCTGAGCATGAAGCGACTCTGATTGATGAAGTGGGTGTCGTTCAAGTGTTCAGGATAATCCACCCCGTCCATGTATCGATCACCTCCGTCCTCGTACCAATGGAAGGCGATGCCATCGACGTACTTACTGGCAGTTGGGTGGTTGTAGATCACATCCGCCCATCGACTAACACTGACGCGGTTGTGGTCGAACGCCATAAGGGTGAGCTCAGGGTGGTCACGTTCAAGTACAGGACCTAAGAACTCGCCAATGAACTCAGCTTCATACTCTGGATTGTACATACAAGCTTCCCATGGCGCGTTGAACTCTGGTTCATTCTGTGGCGACACCCCCCAGAAGTTGATGCCATACTTCTTGTATGCAGTGATGAACTTGGAGAAGTACAGAGCCCAAGGAGCTCTCATGTCATCTCTCAGTCCGACTGGCTTCACTGACCCCAGCATACTAGCACTGTATGAGGAGCCGGATCGCTTCATCCAAGCAGGAGGACTCCACGGCACGAGAACCAATTTCATATCGGATCGATGTTTTAACGCGCGTTTGATAGCATCTTCGCGTCATGCGTCACGTTTGTATCGAAGTTTTCGAGCTCGATGTCATTCTCCGCCTCGGCGAAGCTGTACGATCCTACTGAGAAGTCACAGGACCCCATGGGCACACGGCCGAAGCTATACGCACTGCCCTTGCTCTTGTCGAAGTAGAGCGTTAGCACCTCCTCTTGTTTGTCTTTCGGTAGTTTGTGGAACTGCAGCGCTGCCGCCTCCGTGAATGCACCGCCAAAGCCCATGATCTCCTGGAACATGGTGTCCACGTCGATGGAGATGAACGATTCCGTGTCCTTCGTGCCCCCATACTTCCACTTGAGGCCTTTGATCGGTGTCATTATGTTGGTCACGTTATCGATGTAAGAGCTCTGGAAGCACTGGATGTCACCTTCATCGGGGGTAGCGGTGGCTATAATCGACTCCACCGAGTGAGAAGTGACCCCCAACACCACCATCCCAGCCAGAATGATACCCGTGGAGGCGCTAATGAGCCCCCATCTGATCCATTTGCGTCGAGCAGCAGAGCGAGCACTCAAACGCTCATCACTTGCGAGCGAACTTGTGCCATACTCCGTGAAATCTGTTGCCATATCTTACTGCGCCGATGCTAGCTACGATAGTTTGATACTGAGCTCTAGCTCTGGAAGGTGATCATACTTCAACGTGTACACGCCATCAAATATGACAGTTCGACATTTGCGTATCCTCCTATTGTCATATTTGCAGATACCGGTATTGTCAACTATTGAAATTTCCAGCAATGGACGCACAAGCTGGATGGCGTCGACGCGGCTCGGGAAATGCCGGCATGCGACGCACAGAAGCAACTTCAGCTGCTAAATGTGCGCCCAACTCGTCGAGAACACCCTCGGCTACAGCTCGTGTACGAAACACGGTAGTTGGATCGCAGCGACCTTCAAACCAAGCTGCAGAACGCGTTGTCAACGGAAGGAAAAGCGCGTCAGCCGTGTCCGAGGTCGCTCCGTCACGATGGAGAGAAATGCGACACTCTGTACGCGCTAAAGCAACACTAGAGACAACAGAGATCCTATATGGCCACGCAAAGATCGCTGATTTGTGTCCTGAAGACCGAGAGAAGGTGGCCAAGTTAGTCAATCGCATAGTCGAGGTGAAGTAACGCAACTATAGCTGCTGCTACTACAATGCAGTGTACTGTAGCGTAAGTAAGATATACTAATTAGTGCTCTGTACCTGTTGCAGGTGGGGACAATGCATGACGAAGCGGAGAACGAATTTCAGAGACAGAGGGAGGTCCTGGAGGAAGAGGTGAAGGAGCTGAGAGAACACGTACGGCGAGATGCTGAAGAAATCCAAGAGCTGTCTGATGAAGTGCATTCTGCAAGAAGGAAGGCGCAGCTGTTCGAAGAGCGGGTGGTGGTGCTGGAGGAGAGCACAGATGCAGAGACACGTGCTCGTCTGGAGGCTGAACAGACTTTGGACCTGCTCAAACTCGAGGTGGATAAACTGCGAGCACTTGTAAAGCGTCAACAGGACGAGACGCAGCGAGAAACGAAAGAGCAGCAAGAGCAGTTTGATGCGGAGCTTAAACGCGTGAAGGAGGAATTGAAACTAGCTCAGGAGCTGCTGCAAAAAGAGCGTAACGAGCGGCTTCTTGACAAGCAGCAGGCTCTGGATCAACGACTTGAGCGCTCTGCAGCGGCTGGCGAAGAGAAGTTGGAGCGTTTGCATTCATTTCTACTGCAACAGCAGCACGAGTGGCAGAGCAAGGCGAAGGAGCAGCAAGAAGAAACGCTGAACAAGACAAGACAGCAACAAGAACAGTTTGACGCTGAAATGACCCAACTTAAGCAGGAACTGAAAGCAGCGCAGGAATTGCTGCAACAAGAGCGTCAGCGAATGCTTGAGAAAGAGGATATAGCTGTTGACACTACCGACAACTTAGTTTCGGTTGAGCAGGGCGACGCCCATGAGACGCACCCAGCTTCTTCTCCACTCGAGCAAGCTCCAGTTCTTGAGCCCGATCACCAGACTCCAAGTTTCTCAACTGATATGCAAGGCGACCTCGCGATGTTCGAGGAGGTGAAGGACTTGTATGCTGAGGATCTCTTTGCGTCTCGACGATGGAACGCGACAACAGCTCAACCGTCCAGGGATCTTTACTCTGAAGCTGCTTCTTGGCGATTCTCTAGTGCACAGGCATCTCACCCACCAGACAATTCCAATGTATCCACCCTGGAATTGTCCGTACAAGAAGCCATCGAGAGGGACATGGAGGCTCTACTGCGTCTGGACCCACTGCAATAGTGTCACTACTTACAAGGTTTCTGTAGAATGTCCCCGTTACGAGGTGCTAGCTTCTCTTCGGATCGTCTGTAGATTATATTTGTGTTTCCCTGTCAAGACTGCTGTTGGATGGCTTTTTGCCCAGAAGATTTCGTCGTCCCAGCGCTGATCAAGGCACCGAGAACGTCAATCGTGGTTCATTCTTGCAAAGACGAGCTCCTCATTGTCATCGGAGATGACGCGAATATGGGCGTGTGTGAGATCGATTTACTTCTTGAAGCCCTTCGCTAAGTATCAATTAAAGAGCCAAAGCGAACTTACCACGATGCCCACGCAGGTACGAATAGTCCGGTGGGCAGCTTGTGAGAGGATCCAGCGTTCCTAGTGGCGTCCAAGAACAGTCCGAGAATCGATCAAGACAGAATCGTGGTTGGAGTCCACGCTAAAATCTCCCATCGGGGCGATAGCCGACATCAAAACCTCGTCGAGAACTGACGACCCCACGCGGCTACAAACGTGAGCAAGCGCCAATTTACAATTTTCTCACTCGCTTCTGCACTGTCGGTCGCGGTATCGTCAAGAAGCTGCATCACGATACCTTCGACGTCATCAAGAGACCAAAACTTGCTTACAGATATCGATGTCGCATCGGACTCGTTGGTCTCAACCCAGGCGGCTTCACTATTCTGTCCTTGTGAGAACAAATCATTGTGGCTGTCATCCTGCGACCCTCGTCGGGTAATTGACACCTCTCCACTCATTCTGGCATCGTCCGTCGATTTCATAAAACAAGACAGATGCAAAACGTGAAGCTACAGCCAGCACGTTTCTCCTTTAAATACGCCGCTATTTCGGCTTGTGTTTAAAGCCGCAGAGTGTGCTGCAATCTCTTGGACCATGGCATGTTGGAATGCAGGCGAACTAACAGGCTGGTTATTAGCCTCGACTCGATCTTCAGCAGCCCGTTGTCGCGTTTCTGGAGTGGGTTTCCGATTAAACAATCTGCTTAGAGCGCCACGTTTTGGAGGATTCGTCGTGTTCTGAGAGGGATCGACGCCTCTTTCTGGAGTTCGAGCTCGACTTTCCGGTCGATTCTGTGCTTGTAGCTCACGAACTTGCTCTTGGAGCTTAACCACTTCACTTTCAAGCTCCACTTGTCGACGACGTTGCAGCTGCTCCCGTTCAGCGAGAGCTAGTCGATGTCGCTCTTCTCCGGAGAGCAGCACTTTCGGCTTCTCGGTTGTGGACAACTTGGTCTCAACATTGTAGAACACGGTAGTTTTCTCGTCCTTGATCTCGATCCAGTCGCCGTGTTGAGCGGCAACTGACCAAGGAAGCCACGTATGTCGACGCTTAGCTCCTTTAGCGTGAGTTTTGTTAAAACACCCGTCACAGAAGCCGTCCCCACAGAGATTACAGAGTCGACAACTGGCACGGACGTCGCACTCCACACAATACGTGTCCGTCTCCTTCTCCAATAGATCTCGGAGCACATCCAACGCTGTCCAAGTGTGTGTCATTATTCGACGTTGACTCCCGGTGTGTGACGAGGTAAAACACGCCTCACAAAACTTTTCTCCTCCGCAAGACTCACACTGGCGGACGGCTAGAGAGTGTCCACAATCGCAGCATAACAGAGCTCCTCGACGGAACCGCAGCGCGATGTCCACATGTCGAAGCTTCATGGCTGTCGCGTGATCACGAGCGAAACAAGCCTCGCAGTAGAAGCAGCCACTTGTTGTCGTAGTAGGACATTCGTAGCAGTAGTAGGCAGCTAGATTCTTCTCTCCTTCTTGGTTGTTAGAGGTCGTAGGAGGGTTGTCTTCGTCCAGTGTACAATCCACTCCAGACGCACAACGAGCAGGTCTTATCGCAGCCATTGGAACAACCTCAAAGTCGTGCTTCACCTCGTTTAAAGCCGAGTTTTCTTCACTGGAACCACTGGCAGTGTGCTGTTTGAAACATGCGGTGCAATAGAATGCTCGATTCGTGTCTTCACAGTCCAGACATCTCTTGGTTGACTGGACTTGCTGGCATTTAACGCACTTTCCTTCACGTAAAACCTCCTCAAGTGGATCGACTTCTTCGACTTTGGAGCCCTCATGGTCTTCTACAGACGTATCCTTCTTCTCCTCTTCCTCAGGTGACGTATTTGGTCTCTTTATGCGCGGCGGGGGTGGATCCCAACTGCTTTCTTCTGTTCTCTCGTTGTAGTAGTAGACGTTCCCATAGTCGTCGGTAAGAGAGATCCACGGATCTTTCTCTTCTTCTTTGTCATGACTTTCATATTTCTTGTCGTCATTCTCTTGTTTAACCGGTGTCTTCAGTAGCGCTTCGATCTCACGTTCTGCAGCTAGTTCCTTCGCACGATATTCGGCTGCTTCGGCCTTGACTCGAGCCAAATCTGCTTCTCTACGTGCTTCTCGTACCTGGTTCGCAGCTTCTTGTGCTCGCTGTACACACAGCTCCATCTGCTCCCGATCGTATCGTTCTTTCCACAGTCGTTCCTCCTCCTTTCGCCTGCGTTCTCTAATATATTCTTCCTTGAGTTCTGCTAATCTCCGTTGCTCACGTAGACGACGTACGTATCGTTTAGCCAGCCATCTTTTTGCTGCACTCTGAATCACGACCGCTTTCTTCTCCTTGAGACGACGTAGCTCCTCCATCTGTAGTCGATACACCCAGTACCCCATTCGAGCCACGTAACCTCGATATCGACGCTGCAGATACACAGCAGCGCGGTCTTCCCGAGCCAACCGCTCATAGCCAGCTTGAACTTGAGCGCGTAACCAGCGTAATTCTTTCGTCGTAAAGCAAGAATCGTCCTCGAGAAAGCGTTGCGTCACGTATGTTAGCAGCACGGACGACGCCTGGTGCGTTGTCCAGCCTATACCTGCGTCGCTGTCGCTACCGAAATATCGCTGTTGCTCGATCTTCACAATGCTCAGAGCTTCTCGGAACAAGCGAGCAGTCTGTTGCGCTTCACGCTGACGTACAAGTTTCTGGATGAAGATAATCGACGCTTCTCGTCGCTGTGCTTCGACTCGCAACCCATTCAGAACTTGACGAGCAGCTCGACAAGAGTACACTCCTGTGATCCAGCTTTGAAGTTTGTGGACTGCTGTTTGTCGTCGAGAGCGTCGACGGCGTGCAAGCGCGCAGCGAGTACTGCATTGGATAACTAACGCCGCGTTTCGAGCCTGTCGGTAGTCATTTCGAGCTCTTCTTCCACGTACATGACGTTGGATCACGGTCGACGCTCTTCGTCGCTTCTGCTTCTCCTCAGCAAGGAGAACGCGCTTGTGTCTTGCCCAATAACAACGGAATGCACACTGGATGACAATGGCCGACTGCAAGCGACTCTGAGCGATTCGTTCGCGTCGCTCGACAAAGCGAAGACCGAGTGCATACAGCCCACGTCGTCGACGCCAAAATCGCTGTAGAAACACTGCGGCTTGTTGCTTCTGACGCGCTTTCAACCTCCGAGCGTAGACTTTCCGTGCGAACAGACTTCGTACCACACACTGGACTGCAATTACGGACCGCCAGTGACGTCGCGCTACTTCCTCCGCAGCAGCACGAGCTCGATCGTCGTCAATCTTTCTCTTCCGTTGTCGAAACTTCACACTCAACAGGGCCAGGAACCACTGCTTTCTCCACCAAATCTCAAGCCTCAACACTGCGACTTTCGCCTTCTGTAGCCACAGTTTCCTTCGGAATGCCCTGTTCCGACCCAGAAAGCCTCGTGCCACTCGTTGTATATGCATGGCAGCCTTACACTCAATTGCTACGCGAATGGCTCGTTCCACTCGACGACGCTCAGCTTCCACTCGAGCTAGATGCGCTCTCCACTGCGTTTGGATGCGAACTGCTCCTTGTCGACGCATTACCCTACGAGCAATACGTCTCCGCACAGCCAATCTACGCAGGAACAGCTGTAGAGTCTGTGCAGCTCGCGTCTGCTTTGCAAAGTCGCCGCCAATTCGCAGGGTGCTCCACTTCATCATCGTACCGTAACGTTCGAAGCGAAGCAGAGCCTGTATGGATTGATTTCGACGATAATCCTGCGCTTGAGCTGCTAGACGAAGAGACTCCAAGTGTTGTCGTGATCGACGCGCTCGCACTGCGTTCTGAATGACAGAGGCGGCGAGATTCCGCTCCTGTTCGATCATGTTGTGTGTAGCCATTTTCCAATGTGCGAAGCCAGTTGCGAGTGTCCCGATGTGCGCGTCGCTGGAGACTCGTTCGAAAAGAGCCACAGCACGCTGTTGGGCCTCGCAGAGAGCTTCGCGTTTTCTTTCTTCGTGTTGAATACATTCTAGGAAATCTTTCCAGCGGATGAAGCTGTTGTAGAGAATTCGGTGCTGCAGTTTGGCAAAAATCGCAGTAACGATACGGAGACCATCTTGTTGCGCGTCGGATCGACGCATGAGGTTGCGTTCGAAGAGGAAAGTGAGAGGAAGACGCGCCTTTTCTTCGGATATGCGTGACATCACGTTTTCTTCTAGTCTGTGCTCTTCTGCAGTCAGATTCTTGATCTGTTGCGAGTATTTCTCTAGCAATCGCTGCGTTGGATTGCGCTTCATGGAAGTCACAGTGCTTACAGAGCTTAGTGACTTTGGCGTTATGGCTGGAAAGCGCAGGGACAGGAGATTTGTTGGCTTTTTACGCTTTTTCCACTTCTTCCGTCGCTGTTGTTTGAGCGACTCGTGGTCTTGCTGAAGCGATTCGAGCACAGACTCGATGCTCTGTTGTCGATCCTCATCCGGGAGTATTAGTGGCGTCGGTGCTGAGTATAAAGGTATGAATGGTGAGCTGTCTATTGAGAATTCAAGCGGCGGGATAACGAAATCTTCAATCGACGCGGCATTATTCGTCCCCTGAGTATCTGTGGCTTCTAGCTGGGGGAAAAGTCTGTCATGGTTCCGCAATATTGCGCTGGTTTTCACGAGCTTCTTGCCTCGGCGTCTTCGTAGCTCTTTGACGCTCCTTCTAGCTTGATTTGAAGTCTTTCTTTGGCGATCTTCACGAGATCGTACTTTATCATCGCTACCGTCGTCATTAGAACGAGTGGGCGAGTGCGGCGGATCGTCTGATACCCACTGGAAGGGAGAGCGGAACTCCTCAAGTGCTTGCTGATCCACTCGAAGCCACGGATACTTGGCCCCCAGATACGTCACATCCCACAGACCTCGAGGAGGCAGCGCCATTATTGAGCATGTACAGCTAAGCTTCACAAAATTTCCCGTCAAGTTGAAGTCTTCAGCCAATCACAGGGCACGATCTATTAATGTAGCCATTTTCATTTGTATAAACACAGTCGATGCAATGGCATCTCCCGTGGATCTCTGCAGCGTGCCAGCCTCATCGGGATGTCAATTTGTGGTCTCTAAAGGTAAAAGTTCTCCGAAGAAGCGTCTTCGGACGTCACACTCGAAGTCTCAGGCTGGTTTGGTGGTGAACAACAATGAAGACGAAATCGCACAGCAGCGAAGAAGTAGCCATGTAAGTTTACAACGAAAAAAAGAGTTGGCAGCGACGCTACTGCAGCGTCATGTGCAAGTGTGGCTCTTACGGCGTCAGGAGACTGTGCGCACCCAGGAAGTCCAGAAATTACGTGGAGAGCTTCGAAAAGCTGCCATACGCGTAATTGAAGAGAGTTACGCTCGATATGTCAAGCGACGAGCGATTAACAGCTATCTGCATGAACTTGGGAGCTTTGAAACTCGGCTGGATGAGCTGCTTCAACGCTGCGTCATCCGCAACCAACAAATAGAGGAAATTCGGCGCTTTGCCAGCCTTCGTCGACAGCAAAAGCAGCAGGAGGACGGTCGTCAGCGGCAACTAGTTCACGACTGGCTTCAGGTCTGTACGCAGTCACATCGCAAGAAAAAGGAACAGAGAGCAGATGAAAAACTTGTCACGTGGTTGCGACGATGGAAACTACGAAAACGCTGTGTGGCGAGAGCTGCAGCCAGTGAGAGGGAACAGCAACTCGAAGTGCGACGTCGCTGTAGCGCGCAAAGAATCGCTGCAGCTTACCGAGCGTACAAACTTTGTCAAACAGCCAAGAGGACCGTTCAATCTCGTAGCCACATGCGCGATAGCTTGCTGAAGCTCAATCGTGCATTGATCAAGGCTGTGTTGCGAGTGGTTGGCGCTACCGGATTTACGAACGAAAGACGGCGCATGAAGCCATTTCGGCGATACAACGGGCTTATAAAAGACATCAGTCTCGAGTTCAGAATGGAAGAATTCTGGATAAGTGCCTTCTACTACAACGCGTAATCCGTGGACACCATGCACGAATGTGTTGTGCAAAGCGATGTAAACTTCAAGAGGAACTGGATCGTCAACGCTACGTAGCGGCTACTGAAATTCAGCGATATGCAAGAGGGCATCTTACAAGGTTGTGGGTGCACTAAAAAAAGTGCGTGAACGATTTCGATGCGCTAAGTGTGGGGCTCTCGAACCAGGAGGAAGATACTGCAAATACTGCGGACACCATCGCCCATCGTTCGGCCGCTATCAAACGTACTGATGCTCCATGAAAAGTGGCAGCGAAGAATAAAACCAAAATCCGAGCACAAAGATTTAATATCCGTGAATGGTCTTTCAAGAATTTTAGTGCCTTCGCTACCATCGCCAAAGAGGCTATCAACCCCGCGTTCACGATCTGCATTAGCAAGTGGCAGCTGTGAACCTTTGACGTCACTTCCAGCGGTTCCTTCGGCCCGACATCGCCGCCTAGTGCATCGGAACAGCGACTTACTAGCTCGTATCAACTCTGTCAGACGGAACTCCGTTGCGTCTATCAGTGAACAAACGGCACTACGAGCCATGGCAATTGCTGATCTACAGGAAAAGTACACCTTTTCATCTCACATCAACGTTCTGGAAATGCATTTTAGCCGACTACAAAAAGCTAACGCAGCCATTCTACGATGACTTCAACCAAATGTAAGTATGTTCTCTGTAAAGTTAGGCTTAACTGCTATCGTTATTGTCTGTTCTTTGGGGGTGAAGTTGTTGCCTGGGGCTGACCAGACTTGACAGAGAACCACTCGTGTAGTAAAGCATCCTGTGCAGTTAGTCGACATGCTGGGTCTTTCGTGAGTAAGCCTCGAAGCAAGGCCTTCCCTGCTGAGGACACGCTTCTCCAAGCCGAATCCGTCTCCAGGTTGACTTCAGCATGCAACGTCTTCTGGATGACCTCACTCTTTGCCTTGCCGTAGAAAGGGAGTTCGCCACGAAGTAGCAGATACATGATGACCCCAAGAGACCAGATGTCGGCTTCACGGCCATAACCCACCAGTGCAAGCACCTCGGGAGCCACATAGTTGAGCGTTCCGCAAGGCATTTTCATCAATTCCTCGGGATGGACGAGTTTTGACAATCCGAAATCCGCAATTTTGAGGTCCGTCAATGCCTCTCCGCAGAGAATATTCTCCGGTTTGAGATCTCGGTGCACAATTCCCAACCTATGCAAATAATTGACGCTTTCAAGTAGCGGACGCATGACAAGACGCGCCTCGGCTTCGGTATATCGTGCACGACCCACGATCCGGTTGAAGAGTTCGCCACCGGACACAAGCTCGGTGACGATGAAGATATATTGGCGATCCTCGTATACATCGTATAGCCGGATGATGTTTGGGTGATGAACAAGCTTCAAGATGGCAATCTCCGTGCGTAAGAGTTCCTTCTCTGTGGGCTGCAATTTGCTCTTGTCGATGATTTTCACCGCCGACTTGACGCCCGTACGTTTGTGTGTAGCCTCACAAACCTTGGAAAACCGTCCTCGACCAAGTTGCGCTCCGACGTTGTATACTTCTTCAATTGAAGTTTTGTCGGTAGCGTTTCGGAGTGCCGCTGCCCAACGTTTCTGAGCGTCAAGAGAGCGAGTAAACACAGTACGCTTCTCTCGCGAACTGCCAGCTTCCGGTACAATGTCAATTCCGTAGTAGTGCACACCTTTCTCCACAATCTCGTTCTGAATCGGTTGTACCTCCACATAGCAATCGCTTAGAAACGTCACTCCGCGAGGTGCCGTGTCATCCGGAGACCTAATTGACAAATATCACAATAGCATAAAAATATTGTCATCTTCATCAAATAGAAAAGTACTGTGAACGTACGCGTAGTAGTAGAGAAAACTGCCCTGTAAAACATAATGGCGCTTGGTCATTTTCCGCAGACGCGAGCCGCGCTTCCACAAGTATCCGGAGACGCTGGAGGAGTCCTCGACCAAAACCACTTCTGGAATTTCATCCAATGCTTGGGATGGTGTGGGACTTTCACCGGAACTGGTGAAGGAACCACCTCTTGATTCAGATTTTAGAGCTCCTGTAGCTCCTGCAGGTAACGAGAGAAGGCGATCCACTTCAGCTAGCGCGGCTTGGATTTTGGAAGCCACACTCTCGATATTGCAGCAATGCTTGGCGTCTTGCAGCAAGTTTCGAGTCTTTTCCAGTTCTTTACGGCTCAATGGATCCGCTGAGGGGATCGCATTCGCTTTCGCAGCATTTCGACTGTAAAGGCGACAATAAAGTCAGATATTTAAAAGATGAAGTAATAACATGCTTCCTTAACGTACTTGATGTGTAGATTGGCAAAGGAGTTGTGTTTCTTGCGAAGGTCTCCGTGCTCTCCAAGACAAGGACTCCCAGGCGGCAAAATGGACCTGTTTATGACTACCGAGTTAGGCTTCGTTCACCGAGTTTAGATCAGAGAAGCATTACCCGTCCATTGGGATAGCAGGAGCTGCACTGCTACAACGAGGACTTAAGCTACCATCCTTCGTTGCATGGTCCTCAACTGGTAGGACGCTCATTAAAAACTGCAAGAATCAGAAATAACATCGGTGATAATAAAGCGATCATGGCATTTCTGAGTAAGGACGTACGTTGGTAACTCCAGGAGTGTTTTCACACCACTGGCAGAACTGTTCAAAGCTCAAGCGTGTGCCTGGAACAGAGGAAGACGGGAATGCCAAGTCCGCTAGAGCCTCCACCTCTTCCATCTAAAACAACAACATCACGCACGTTAGTTGTGCTCCAAAACTATTGTTTCAAAACCACTACAGTCGTTGCACGCACCATTTTGACGGGGGTAGACACGTCTGGGTTATTGGTTTCTTCATGCTCGGTCTTCGGCTTGATTAGCTCTAGCGCCGATTCGGGGAATTGGTGCAGCATTGTCCTGAGTTCGTGGCGTGAAATGGAGCCCGCCCTAGACAAGGCTCACTTCAAGTTAGGCAAAGATGAAGATAGTACTCAAATTCATTTACGTACTCGCTGAGGTCGTAGAGGTCGAAAATGAATTTGAGCTTCTCCTTTCTTGAGCCTCTGAAGAGAATCGCCAGCCCATAGACAAACTCGTTGTAGTGGATGGAGCCAGAGCCATCCTTATCAATCACCTCGAACAACCGTTCGCCCAGCAATCCACGCATAGGAAAACACTTAAGAAAGGTCTCCTTGTCGACGCTTATGCCGTCTTTGCCGTTTGCTAAGCCCTTGAAAGTCTCACGTAGTAGCCTAATCTCTTCGTCACCGAAACGCTTCATGGCCTCGCGCTCCTCAGTCGATAAGCGACGACCCGAGAACTCCCGCGACAGCGGTGAGTTGCCCATGATGGAGAAACCCTTTATCCAAAGAGCTCGTCCTTGTAGCAAGATGGAAAATAGCGCTGAAGGAGAACCAATTATAGCGTGGTCAGTTTTGGTGAGCGTCGTCTCTTGCTACAACTATCACTTTCTTTTTATCAATTACTTAAGAAATCGCTTACCATCGTCACCAGTTGGTGTGACAGGAAGGAATTCATTCAGTTATGAAGTCGCTTTCTAGAAAACATTTGTGGTGGTGAGCCAAACTTTCTTTCAAAGTCAGCGAGCGAGGAGGTACCCAACTAACTTAAATAAAATTGTTTGGACGTCCTAAAAGCCATTAGCTGTATTTTAGAGCAATTCGTGATGCTAGGTGCTCAAGAATTTTTTTATGAAAAATAAAGATGTATAAGTAGTCTTCGTTTATAAAAAAAGTTGGCCCCATCAGCCTTCGTTAACAGAAACATACTTAGGTTACATCAAATAACAAAAAGCAGTACTACAGTAAATGTGCTGTCAAGAAGATCAACAGATAAATTTGGGATTGAAAGCTGGAAAAACATTAAACCTGCTAAACAGGGGCCTGCAAACCTGCAGTATTCACGCAGAGCAACCTAATGCCGGAGCACCGCTCACGATGTCAGCCTCGGGAGCTGGTTCGGCCACTGCGTCGCTTGTTGCCTCTTTTTGCGGCGACAGCGTGACCTCATTAGCATTGGGCGGCAGTGAAACACACTCATCCTCCTGTAGTTCCTCTTCAGTATCACCGGTACTCTTATTAGAGTTAGCGAGTATTATTGCAGGCAATGAAGTCGTTGCCTCATCTCCCTCGTGTTTTGGCGAAAGCTCAGCAGTTTTCGCGGTGCTCGCAGACCTTTTCTTGGCTGCAACGTCGCTAAGAAAGAGAAAACGCTCTCCACGAGTGTCTGTGCTTCGTAGCACACGCGACTGAGGGTTAATCGCCTTGCGCAAGATCGTGAGGTCTCCGTTGTACCAATACTTCATCCGGATACGATCCACGATCGCGTCAGGATGGTAGAACGCTACGTCCGCCTCAAGGCGGTTGCACTCTTCTACTCGCTCGCTCAGCTGTTTCTCGAGCCTGCCGACTTCATCTCTCAGCTCGGTGATCTCCGTCCGCAGTATCGAATCACGCTCCGACAGGACTGAAGTGAGCTCGTTAATAGTTTCCGACACGAACTCAGGAGACTCCGAGATCTCTTGTGCCTTCCGCTTGCGGTCGTTGCGCTCCATCGTGGAAAGTGGAATGAGCAGAGTCAGATAAGGGAAGAGAGACATTAAATGACATGGGTCGAGAACTTTCGCTTCGTCCCAACTGCGTTCACCCATCAATCACGTGATATAAACTACAGTATCTTTTTGACACGGAAGTACTACCGTTTCCACCGATTATTTGCAACTTACCCCAGTGCTTTAAAGCCTAGTTGGCGCGCATGCGAGCCTTGTAGTCACTGGAGCTCTCCATCTTCTTGCCCTGACTCCAGATCCCCCTTTTCTTCTTCTTCGACTTCTCTTCCAGCATTTCATAAATCTCCTGTTTGCCGCCGTACACCGCCCCTGCTTGGCGATACACTTGCCCAAGCCCGACTTTGAGAATCTCTGCTGATGCATCACGTCTGAAGGGCCACCAACCGTACTGCACCAAGCAAACTGCACGAGCATATTGGTCTTTATGCAGCAATGTGAGCGTCAGCTTCCTGCCCTCCAACGTCGAACTGAGCCACTTTTTAGCTTCGTCTCCGAACGGTTGCCCTGGGTTCCCGAACTTGGCCGTCTCTGGTGTATCTGTTCGTAAGAATACTGCGTCAGGTCTCCCCACATTATTGTAGATGCCGAGATTGCAACGCACCGATGCCCGCGAGTCGGATCTGTAGTGTGTGGTCTGACAGTTTACCGTCGTAGCTTCCCGCACCTCGGAAAAGAGGCAAATGACGCACTCGGAGCGTGTCACCGTCGCTGAAATTCACCGCAGCAGCTTTGATCTTGCCTTCTTGATGGAAAAGTCGGTTGGGGAGATCCTCCACGGTCGAGAACCGCCGGAACGGCTGCCTCAGACGAGGAATGGCCAGACCCACGCCAACGCCGAGCACGAAGGCCCTGCAGACAAAGGGAGACGAAGGGGTCTGCAATAGTTCATGCGGGTTGTCGGCAATATTGCGGATGTTTCCCCATTGCTGTGTGGCCAGATCCTGCAGCTTCTTGAGCCATGGAGCAGTGTATTCTTTTAAAACGTAGTAGCTGTATTTACATACTTTTGATACTTAATTGACGTTTAATTATTCTTTTGTTTTCTACTACTTTAAATCATAGGAAAAACCTACTGCCCAGGTTTTTCGTGCATAGCCGTGCGACTATTGACCAGGTTTAAAGCACATGTTTCGCCAGGTTTCTGGCCAGGTTGTAGTTAATAAAGTAAAATACCATGATTTGAAAATATTCCCCTATTATCCCGGCCAAAAAGGCTTGGATAAAAATGGTAATATATTTTATCTTAAATTAGAGGAATGTAACTCCGCAACCGTAGAGCCGATTTCGTTGTGTGTCCCCTTAATAGATAGCTTGGTGTCTATTTATTCTCGTAAGAACTTCACAGCATCTAATAATGTTCACTACTTTTCAAATGGTCGCCGGTAAGAAATTGACTGCTGCTGAGAAGTACTTGGTTGTGAAGACCTACGAGTTCCTCCGCCAAAAGAAGGCCTCTGCACCGCATCTATGGAAAGGAGGAGTTCGTTATCATGTCAAAGAGTGTTTAGGCTTTGCTACGGGCACCATTTCAGCTATATGGGCGCACTGGGAGCAGCACCACGACAAGAATTTCACCTCGGTAGGCTGTACTTCATATCATTTCAGTTATTATAGATATTTAACATTTCAGTGGTCGACAAATTAATTATGACAGATGGAAGGTCCAAAATGAAGCTGTAGCCGATTAAAAATATGAACGGGTGACCCGTTGTATGTTCTTTACACTCTAGATATTCTTTTGACGGGTTCTTTTTAACAAGTTTATAATTTTCTAACAATCGTCAAATTGCGGTAATATTTGGAATTTATCCATCCGGTTCTGAAAATCCCCACCTGTTATCCCGGCTCTGCCAATGAATATGCATGCATGTTAGTACGTGCCAAGCCCACAATTGCAAACAATTCTGCAAGATATAGAGCCTTTTTTAAACGGCCGATTGGGAGATCAATGGTTGCAGATACGCAAAAATAGACCTCAAAATCGGAATCTACGCCCGATTTTACCCCTTATATCTAACTATCGTTATGGGTTTTGTGAAGGGAAGGGTTACCTTTTTTGGACCAAAGTTTGTCCAAGGTTTGGTGGCCGGGATAATACACCTACTAATCTCATGATACGGCACCTGATCGCACGTATCTCTGCAGCGCAGCTTCTCAAAATCCATTCATTTCCAAATTTGAGCCGTGCTGGAGGAATGAAGCGCAAAGCCCACTCTGAAGACGAAGCGTCCATCAACGAAGATCCCCTAGCCTCTTTGTCCAGCGTCTCAGAATCGGAAGGTGAGGGGGAGGTGGTCACGCAGGTTGGCGGCAGTGCTAGCGACGAGGAGTTTCCAGCAGACCAGGAGGGCTCTTTTGAAGGGAAGGAGCTGCGTCGCTACCACACAAACTGGGAAAGGTGGAAGAAATACCGCGAATCGTATTGCGAATCCGAAAGTGCGCATCTTGTGGTGCACGAATCGGAGAGTGTCGCCAAACGCAACAAGATGCTGCGTGCTTCTAAGCGCGCCAAGGACGGTGGTTCGATGCGATACTTACCCGAAGACCTTCCCCGTTTTCGCCGGAGATACATTTGTACGCACGGGTCGCGGACCCGCCGCCGTGGATCAGGAAAGAGACAGCAGTTCAAGCTTCGAGGCACTGGATGTCCATTTCGTTTTACTGCGGAGAGTGTGTACCACAAAGGAAAGTGGATCCTAGAGATTGAAAATCCCATCTACACTCACAACCACAAGCTTTCCCAGGACATTTACGAACATTATCCTCACAATCGCCAAGTTCCGATGTTTGAGCCTCTGGTCGAAGACCTTCGGTTGATGGTACGCGCTGGAGGCAAGGGTCTCCGAATTTACGAGTACATCCGTGATAACTCCAGGTACAAAGTGACGCAGAGAGATGTGGCGAATGTTCTTACCCGAATTCGCAATGAGCTCCGTGGACAGGCCGATGATGATTTGGCTGCTGCCGAATTTCTTGTCGGCTTCGGCGAGGAAGACAAGAACAACGTGGTAAGTGTCGATGACACGTCAACGGGGGAGACAGGATCAATCTCACTGAGTACAGGCCACATGCGAGCGACGTTTGCTAAGTATCCGGAGCTCTTGCTGGTGGACTGTACGCCCAAAACCAATCGGTAAGTTCATAACAGGTTCTACACCAGGTTTACATTCCTTGTTTAAACCAGGCTTCTAACAGGAAACGAATCAGGTTTCGTACCAGGTTTTATGCTACGGCTCAAAACAGGATTAAACTGTTCATTCTTTTTTAACATTTATTTTTATGTTTTATAGATACGACTACTAGCTATGCCGTCTAATGGTGATGGATGCCTTCCGGTCTGGTCGGTTCGTACAGCACTCTGTAATCGAGACCAACTCGGATTGGCATATGCGGAAGGTGCTCCGCCACTTCAAACTGCCAATGTCACTTGGGAGTCGCTCCGCGTTGTGATCGTTGATAAAGACATGAGAGAGATCAGTGTGATTCGGGAGGCATTTCCGGATGCTACTATTTTGCTTAGTCATTTTCACGTCTTGAAGTTTTTGCGAAGTGTGGTTCGTGAGGCTCGCTTCGGGCGCTATTCTGCTGACGAGTACGACTGGATGAATCATCTCTTCTCCAATCTGGTAGACGCTCCGTCCAACGAGGAATACGCAAAGAATTATTCTATTTTGGAGAAGTTTTCATGCGCGCATGGGAACACCTCCTTCTGGGAATACTTCTGTGAGAATTGGGACAAGTCGAAGGACATGTGGACTAGATATCGCCGCCAAAGACTGCCGCATTTTCGCAATAATACGAATAATCGCATTGAGTCTAATTTTGGAAAGCTCAAACTCGATCTTGATTCATCGTCCACAATGAAAGAGTGCTTGGAGTCTCTCATGCGTCATCAGCGTCGCGTAGAAAATGAAAGTTTAGCGAGAGAGTCGTTCAAAGGAAGGTGGACGCATTATGGCTCAATTTTGATCGCATTCACTGGACGTCGATTGTGATCAACACTGCGACCAAGAGCATTTTCATTTACGTCCCTTTGGGAGATCCAGACTACATTGCGTACCTGAACAAAATCAAAACGCGCCTTTGCAAAGAGAGCAAGTTTGCCTCGTACAAATCCGTTGTTGTGGCATCTCCTACCCAGAACGACGGGAATAGCTGTGGTATTTACGTACTCAACTTTATGTGGAGGCTTCTTGACGACAAGATCAGCAATGTGCAGAAGGACCCTCAGCTGAATAGCTTTAGAGTTCGGATGTTGTCCGCACTACTAAGTCAATAAATGCACTCATTTCATGTCAGATATTGAAGTAGTATTTGAGTCCGAGCTTATCCGTGTTGCCGTCGGTAAAACCTCAAGTACAAAAACCTGTTTTATAACCTGTTGTCAAACCTGCTAGAGATCCCTTGACATATTTGGGATATCGTACTGATATCGCTCTAAGTACAACAACCTGGTGTAAAACCTGTTTGAATACCTGGGATGATGTGGCGTGTCACGTTTACATGCACAAAACTGAGGGGTCTCCGACGTGTCCCAGACACTGTATGTGCACCACACAAGAATTGTAGACCTGCCATCCAATCATTATGATTACAGCAACCTCCGCACTTCAACAAATTGGGTTGTGCAAATCCTTTTATTCCACCGTCTCGTGAGTATGCAGACCTCTAAACAAAACAAAGAAAGGCCATGATGCGTAAATTACATTTTTTTTTTCAATGCGAAATACATTACGACCTGGTTTCAATCCTGCTTCAGGTTGTGTACCAGGTTAAATGCGCACATCTATGCACCAAAAACCTGGGCAGTAACATCGTGCTAAATCATATTGCTATTAATAGCTAAGGGTTATTAAAAATGCTTAGGCCGTGTTCGATCTAAGCTTAATTGTTATTAAAGAGCTGGAATGTCTCAACCAGCTTTATTCCGCTAAGAAACACAAAAAATGACATCCAGCAAACGACTGGTTTCAAAATTCAGCTCTGGTCCTCCTTTGCGCCTTCAAATCCAGCCTTTTTCTGATGGAACACGATCACTTATTTTATCTGTATTTTACTAAACAAAACGACTGTTCTACAGCTCCAGCTTATTTTCAAACAAGCTGGATTTGCCCCTGCAAACCGAACACGGCCTTAGTTTTCTTAAACAATACTATGCTATCGCAATAGTGTATTTGCTGCTGCCTACTGTACTGTACAAGTATTCATCTTGGCCACGAATCTTGTTGCTGTTCAATAAGCAGCGAATTCAGTCGGTTTTCGCTTAGTGGTCAAACCGCTGATCCTTAGCTTTGTCAAAATGCTGACTCGTTACTCTCCTTCTCTTACGGTTGCTTAAACTCGTCCTTAAGCAAGACAATGACTCAAGTAAATGAAAATAGGCTAGAGATCACAAAAGCAACATGGCTACGCTGTCTTCCTACGCGTTTGACGTCGAATCTTGACGTCCTTCTTCATTTCGTCGTCAGTGCCGGCATTGGAGGCAGCACTCGAGTAGCCACTACTTCCTCTCTTCCGTGGCGTCCGAGCTGTTTGGACGTCCATCTTAGCCTCTCCTCCGGCAGGCGGCTTCGGTGGTTGATTCGAAAGTGTCACCATTCGCAACCTGGCACGCAATGCACAACGCCCAGATAATGCGCCTCGAAGAAGGCCGTCATCTCCTGCGACCCACAACGTTGATAGTCGGGCGACAGCTTCATCTGCGTCAAACCCGAGATTGCGTTGCTGTAGACGATCGCTAGCTGCTTTCAGCCTTTGGACTTCTGCTTTTAATTCTTTGATTATCGTATCGCGCGAAGACTCTTGCTCGAGGAGGTACTGGCAGATTTCAGCCGTGTTCAGTTCGTCCGCCTTCCGCTTGCGACTCGCGCTACTCATCGTCAAAAATGTTATGGCCTTTACCAAAGAGAATCCTCCAGGTAGCCATAGACTCGTCCCAATTGGCCAACTGTAGCATTAGCCACTTCAGCTTGAAGTTTTAAATGTGGTACACACACTTTAATGTGGAAACTTAATCTGATGTTCTCCACACCAGGCTTCCCTTTTTCCAATCCGCATTTTGGCTCCACTCAAGCGCGGCGATGCATCTCCTGAACCTGACGCTGCAGCCGCCTACGGGCGTGCATTTGGCCGTGTACGGTAACTTCTCGGCCCCGCAGGCGCAGGAGCTCGTAGTGGCTCGCGGTGATGTGCTGCAGCTGCTGCGTCCGGATGAGTCGGGTCGTCTGGAGGTCGTTATCTCGACCCAGGTATTCGGGGTTGTGCGCGCTCTCCAGCCCTTTCGCTTAACGGGAGGAGACCGAGACTACCTCGTCGTAGGCTCCGACTCGGGAAAGATCGTAGTTCTCGAGGTAAACCCTACTTCCAGTCGATTTGAGGCCCGACAGAGCGAAACTTACGGTAAAACAGGTTGCAGACGTATCACACCGGGCCAGTACTTGGCTGCCGATCCCAAAGGCCGCGCCGTGCTCATCGGAGCTGTAGAGAAACAGCAGCTGGTCTACGTTATGAACCGCGATGCGTCCAGTCGTCTCACTATCTCGTCGCCTTTGGAAGCACATCGCTCCAACGCCATCCACTTGGGCGTTGTGGGGCTCGATGTAGGCTTCGAGAACCCCATTTTCGCCTCTTTGGAGCTAGACTACGCCGAAGCAGACGCTGATCCAAGTGGCCAAGCAGCTCGAGAAGTTGTGAAGACTCTGGTGTATTACGAACTGGACTTGGGACTCAATCACGTGACCAGACGATGGAGTGAACAGGTCGTGAGGAGCGCCAACAGGCTCGTGGCAGTTCCTGGAGGAGGTGACGGACCTGGAGGAGTGTTGGTACTGGGAGAAAACACGGTACAGTACAAGAACGAGGGACATCCAGAGCTAACGTGTGCCATCCCTCGACGAGAAGGAGAACACCGAGATATTATCATTGTCTCGGCAGCTACACACAAGCAGAGAGACCTGTTCTTCGTGCTGCTGCAGTCCGAACTCGGAGATCTGTACAAAATCTCGCTGGATTACTCCGGCAACGTCGTGGAAGAGATCAAGATCCAGTTCTTCGACACAATTCCCGTGGCGTCGTCCATGTGTATCACGAAGACAGGTCTGCTCTTCTGTGCGTCCGAGTTCTCGAATCACTATTTATTTCAGTTTTTGAGTATCGGCGAGGGAGATGATGCAGCCAAGTGCTCGAGTTTGGCCATGGATCCGACCGAGTTCTCGACGTTCCCGTTGAGAAAGTTAACCAACTTGGCGCTGGCCAGTTCGTCTGCAAGTTTGAGTCCTGTGACGCAGCTGCTGGTGGATGATCTGGCCAATGAACAAACTCCACAGATGTACGCGCTGTGTGGAAACAATAACCGCTCGTCGCTGCGTGTGCTGCGTCATGGTCTTCCGATCACAGAGATGGCAGCTAGTGCGCTACCAGGTGTTGCTAAGGCTGTGTGGTGCTTGAAGGAATCGTACGCGGACCCGTATGACAAGTACATTGTTGTAAGCTTCGAAGACGCGACATTGGTTCTGGAAGTGGGCGAGACGGTCGAGGAAGTGGCTCAATCTGGATTTCTTCGTGACCATGGCTCGTTGCTGGTGGCGCTGCTGGAAGATGACTCGAAGCTTCAGATTCACACGAACGGAATTCGCCATGTACCCAAGTTTCAGCCTGTTACAGAGTGGAAGGCACCTGGTAAGAAGGTGATTGAGCACTGTGCTGCCAACTCCCGTCAAGTCGTGATCTCTCTCGCTGGTGGGGAGATTATTTACTTTGAGTTGGGTCAGTCCGGTGAGCTGGCCGAGAAAGGCAAGTTGGATCTCGGCTTTGAAGTCTGCAGTTTGGACTTGGGAGAAGTCCCTGAGGGCCGTCAGCGCTTCCAGTTTATGGCAGTCGGTAGCTGGGATAACACGGTCCGCATTTTGTCGCTGGACCCGAACGAGTTGTTCCGACAGAAATCGACATTAGCGTTGACGTCGCACCCTCACACTCTCTGCCTGGCTCAGTTGCAGAATGAGCCGTCGACTCCTGACTCGGAGCACTCGTCGCAGGCGCTGTTCTTGAGCATTGGTCTGGACAATGGTGTGCTGCAGCAGTCACTCATCGACCCGATCACAGCGACGTTGGCGGATTCTCGCTCTCGTTTCCTTGGAACAAATCCAGTAAAGTTGTTCCGTGTGGCAGTCGAGGGCAAGCGCTCGATCCTTGCGCTCTCCAGTCGAGCGTGGATCTCGTACTTCCACCAGACACGGAGACATCTGACTCCTCTGTCGTGTGAGCTGCTCTCGTACGCTAGTTCGTTCAACTCCGAGCAGTGTCCTGGCGGTATTGTGGCGCTGACGAATGAAGGAATGAAGATCTTGACAGTTGACCAGCTTGGAGACACGTTCAACCAGCAGAAGTGTAATTTACGGTACACTCCTCGCAAGGCCGTCGTGCACTCTCCGTCCCGACGACTCGTTGTTATTGAAAGTGACCACAACGAGTACGGTGCTGCGTATAAGAGGCAACATGGTCTCCAGATCCCGGACATTCGAAGTGCTAATGACTTGGAAGATGAGGCGGAGGATGAGATTAATGACGCACTGCTGTTCCCTCGTGGGCCTCTTCCTGCTGAGAAAGACAAGTGGGCTTCGTGTGTGCGTATCATTGACCCAGCATCGTGCCAGACGGTTGTGTGCGAGGAATTAGACGTGGATGAGCGAGCCCGTAGCATTGCTGCCTGCGTGTTCCACGACCGTGGCGGTGAAGCGTTTATTATTGTGGGCACTGTGAAGAAAATGCAGCTCCACCCTCAGAAGGCGCCTGCAGGAGGCTACTTACGTGTTTACCGCGTCGTCGAAGGCATGCAGCTGGTACTTGTGCACACGACTGAAATCGACGACATTCCGCATGCCATGTGCGAGTTCCAGGGACGTCTGCTTGTCTCTGTGGGGCGAGCACTGCGAATTTACGACTTGGGAAAGAAGAAGATGCTGCGGAAGTGCGAGAACCGCAACTTCCCGTCGATTCTGGTGGAGCTGAAGGCTGCAGGTGACCGGATTTACGCTTCAGACATGCACGAGTCCTTCCACTTTGTGAAGTACAAGAAGGACGAGAACCAGCTGGTGATCTTCGCTGACGACTGTGTGCCGCGCTTCATCACGAGCAGCGTCTTGCTAGACTACGACACATTGTGTGGCGCTGACAAGTTTGGCAACGTGTTTGTGTCGCGACTCCCGTCTGAAGTCTCGGACGAGATCGACAACCCTACGGGCAACCGGATTTTGTGGGACTCTGGGCTTTTAAATGGCGCACCCAACAAACTCGAACAGGTGGCGCAGTTCCACGTGGGTGACGTGGTGACCAGCATGGTGCGTTCAAGCTTGGTTCCTGGAGGTACCGAGGCGGTCATCTACGCGACTATCATGGGCCGCATTGGAGCTCTGATCCCGTTTACGTCTCGTGAAGATGTGGACTTTTACACCCATTTGGAGATGTACATGCGCCAGGAACAGCCCCCGCTGTGCGGCCGCGACCACTTGTCGTACCGATCGTACTACATCCCAGTGAAGAATATCACGGACGGCGATCTGTGCGAACAGTTCAGTTCTCTTAGCGTGGAGAAGCAGGCCAGCGTGGCTGAAGACCTCGACCGGACGCCAGCTGAAGTACTGAAGAAGCTCGAGGACATTCGCAACCGTCTTCTGTGAGGAAGACAACGGCTTTTAAGCATTTCAGTCAGGTGAAGCAATAAAAACGAGCTAGCAAAGCGTAAAAAATGGTTCTGTAGCAGCACACTAGCGGAGTTGTCAGCACGGCGGGGGCGCTACGCCGTGAGGAAGGTGCATCTTCCTGTCGCTGCCATTGGGGAAGAGCAACGTCTTCGTCTCCTGGTAGATCTCCTGCAATACTGACACTCGTGGCCGAAATGCCTGCTCATGCACACATTGTTAGGACGTGCAACACAGCTCGCGCCATTTATCTTTGCTCATACCTCGAATGGCAATACCATGTCGCTCTGTGTTTCTATCATGAGCACGAGCGAGTACACAACATTGGAGAACGTGATCGCCTCATTCACCGCCACGCCGCAAATCTGGTCTAGATACACAAACTGCACAAAGAGTTAGCAATATATACACATAATATTCATGCTTTTCTTCAGCCTCACCTTGCTGCTCACTACTCCATTGCGTCGCCTCTTGCTCAATTTCACTCCAAGTGCTGGTACCACCAGCATCGATTCTATAACAGTAACAAAATACGGATCAATATTACCTCAGCAGTAATTCAGTCCAGCAGCTAACCTTCGACTATAACCTTGCCCGTAACTTGGAAGATGAACGCAGCCAATGCAGCCAGCAGTAACCCCGATAGCACTCGATACGAGGATGATACACCCCATTCAACAGTCGATAACACGACACCAGAGCTAATGAACAATATGGTGGTCGACCACCACGTAAACGACCCTCTCTTCTCGTAGGATTTAGGCCCAGACAGCGCGAACTCTATGCCTCGCTGTCCATAGGCCCGCACGCGCAGCACTACTTTACTCGCTGCCGACATCTTATCACCGACAATGCGATTTTACACAAAATTGACACCAACTTATGTTTGTCACTTTACCAAAGCTGTGCCATGACCTCCAAAGCTGATCGAATTGAGGTAAAGCAGCAGCAGCATGCGGCGGATGAACACGAACTGGACCTGTTTCTCAATACACCACAACGCTCTGCTGAATTTCCAGCATCTACTGATGCGGACACGCGCTTAATCGCTGGCCCGCTGAAGGCTGCAAAACTGAATAACGAAGATTCACCTCGCGGAAGTACCGACACTGGAGCTTTGCTGCCTGGTTTATTAATTATTAAGCAGTTTCTGACACCCCAAGAGCAGCAGGAATTGGTTGATGACTCAAGGTGCATGGGACTGGGCGAGGGAGGATTCTACAAGCCTACGTATGCTAGTGGAGCCAAGTGTCGTCTGCACCAGATGTGCCTCGGACGCCACTGGAACGTCAAGACGGAGAAGTACGAAGATCAACGTAGTAACTATGACTATGCGCCGATTCGCACACTACCAGATAGCTGGAAGACGTATGCGCAACGCAGCCTGGATGCAGCCAAGAAGATCGATCCGCTAGTGATGGGGTCTTGCAAGAAGATGACGCCGGACATCTGTGTAGTTAATTTCTATAAGAAAGCTGGAAGGAATGGCATGCACATTGACAAGGACGAAAGTGACGAAGCCATGAGCATGGGATCGCCTGTAATTTCCTTCTCCGTCGGCTGCGCCGCTGAGTTCGCGTACATTGACCACTACCCGGATCCGCACGAGGCAGTACCGATCGTCCGTCTTGAATCGGGTGACGCGTTGGTTTTCGGAGGCCCGGCAAGGACTGTGGTGCATGCACTAACAAGGGTGTATAACAACACACAGCCATCCTGGCTGCGTATGCGCTCGGGAAGACTAAACCTGACATTCCGAGAGTACAAGCCGAGCGAGCTGGAGAGCTAGGTTGCTCGTTTGAGAGGTCGAAGATAATTACAACGCATCATAGCGAAACCGAGCGATTGAAGGCCGATTTTTAAGCGTGTTCTCACTCCTCAACATTTCTGGCCGAGCAAATTAATTTAATTTAAGCCAATTCACCCGGCTTTGGGTTGTGAGATCATTCCATTTACAAAAGTACTTTTTGGACTCAACTTTTTATTTGCTTTTTTCTAAATTTTCTAATGACAAGTACTTTCTTTTCGTGGTCCATTGAAAGTGTACAAAATAAATCCTCACGCAAGATCCACAACGTAAAAGGGAGAACAAAAAACAAAATGGACTCGATCTTCGGCATCGTGGGTAAGGACTTCGTGCTGCTGGCAGCAGACTGCAAGGTGGTGCGCAGTATCCTCGTGTATAAGGACGATGAAGACAAGGTGCGTCTCCCCATGCTACTCCCAACCTCAAGCTCCATTTCCATGCGCCGTATTACTTTATCTAACTTTGTCTCTCGCTGTTATATCTATTGCTAATTACTTTCCTAAAGTCTATCAACCTGGACGAGCACAAGGTGATGGTCACATCGGGCCCGCAGAGCGACCGCTTGGCCTTTGGCGAGTACATTCAGAAGAACATGAAGCTCTACGAGCTGCGCAACGGTGTGACGCTCAACGGCCCGGCCACCGCCAACTACGTGCGTGGCGAACTGGCGCGCTTCCTGCGCCGCGCTCCGTACCAGGTGAACCTGCTGATTGGCGCTGTAGACGCCTCGCCCGAGCAGAAGGCTGAGCCCAGTCTACACTGGATCGACTATTTGGGCTCCATGGTCAAGGTGAACTTTGGCGCGCACGGCTACGGCGCACACTTCTGTCTGTCGATCTTCGACCGCGAATGGAAGCCTGACATGACGCTGGATGAGGCCAAGGAGACTCTTAAGAAGTGCCGTGCAGAGCTCGACATGCGCTTCCTCGTGCGCAACGGCCAGTGGGCGTACACGGTACGAGATGAAATGGTTTGTTGAGAGATGAGGGAGCTGTTACTGACGTTGTTGTGCTTCCTGTAGTTGATTGACGCGGGTGGTATTTCGCAGGTTAAGGTCGAGTAGTTGGACGATGGCACCAAGTGAGGGTTGTGCAATGCCAATAGACTCACTTTCTTTTATGCTGGTTGGTGCATTGACACTGGAGAAGTTTTGGAGTAGTTTATTGATTTTGTTGGTGCAAAGGTTTCCTTTTTGTATTGATGCGAGATACTGTGGGGTCTCACGCACCGCGGGACTTGCGCTCTTGTGCTTTCCGGCGATTGTCGCGGTATCGACGCAGCTCCTCTCTACGACAAGACTACTTTTAGACAAAGAACGTTGCGTCAGAGCAGATTAATGAATGCGCTTACCGTTTTTGCTGCCGCGCACGATCGATATTTGGTTCAGGGAATTGGCTGGATGACTCTTCTGCGTCTTTATCGTCTTGCTCGCCTCCTTCCTTCTGCGTAAGTAGGCTTTCAGCTATATCAACTGATGGAGAATAGTATTCGCTTGAGATTTTAATCCATTGCCGTGCTTTCTCTTCGTGCTGATCTTTCCCGAATCGGTCTTGGCGCCACGCAGCGCTCTTTGGAACACCGATATCCTCGAAAAGATCAGCTCCAGCAGGTACGAAAAGCGGTTTGGCTGGGTCGACTTCTTTACTGGCACCTCGAGCCATAGCTCGGAATGCAAAGCCTTTCATGACGGACCGAAATTGCGTGACAAGGTTCTTGTCCTTCATACTGGTAAACAAGACGCTGGCCCCGTACATATGTGAGAGATACCTTACTGCCTGAGTCACTCCTTTGCGCTTGATTGAGTCCTCGTCTCGAAACGTTTCGTACTTGTTGCCTACTACCAGCACTGGCAAAGGTAATGGGGTGACTTCGTCCTTGTCTGGATGGCCATTGCCATAACTTGCCATGGCGTCGCGTTTGAGTGTATCAACTGCGATTTTCTCGACGGGATTCTTCTCTTTCGCCTTCAAAACCTCCTGTACAGCCGTGTACAGTGTGGTTAGCCACTTCACTAAGGCTGGAACGACGTCTCCAGGGGTCGACAGATCCAAGACTATCACCAACGCGCCATTCAAGATACGCTCCGGTCCTAGCGGCACTTTGATCAATTCGTTTACGCACTTGGTACTTGCTAATTCCCACATGTGCGCTACTGACGGCCGCCCACCTGTACGCAGTCGAACGAAAACGTAGTCTAACGCTGTGGTTGGTTTGATCTCCTCGGCTTTGGACGAATTCCGGAAATTGGCTGTCAGAGAGGTTTTACCTGATCCGCGAGGACCGACAATCAGCGTGAAGGTGTCACGTTCCTCCGGTGCTGGAGAAGTTGTGGGTTTCTCGACTGCATCACTTTCTGCACCTTCCGCTGCTTTCGGCTTCTTCACTGGATCCTCCACAGTGGAGATCAAGGACCAGATATCCTTCGAGGCCATACCTCTTTGCGCTCGAGCCCAGTGGACGTGACAGTCGAGGGATCGCGTCCCGACCTTTCATACGCAATAATAGCTCAGTGATCATGACACAATCGATCTCGAATTTAATAGTTCTTCTACGTATCCTTCAGCTTTCCCAGCAGCAGTTGCTCAACTACCAGCTCTGTGCTTTACGGGCTCTGCTGGTTGCCTTATCTAAAAGAACTTGATGTAAATAACGAGCAGCACGAAGAGCGCGACAGCGACAATCGGACCGTATTGCCGGTAAATGGCCTGCATACGCAGCTTCTTGGCGCCCCACTTGAGGTCCTTTGACCTGTCCGCCAAGTTCGACGAGATACGCGATACATCTGACAAGAATTGAGAGGACAAGGGCGTTAGCGAGAGTCTTACTGCCCATGCAGATATCATACGGAACTTACGTTCAACTCGTTCGCCACGGTTGAGAACCTCCTGGATGTTCTTGCGCATGATGTTGTGGATATCGGCCAGGTCGTCGTTCAGGCGGTGCATGTTCTGTGACGAGCTGGGGTCGGCGTACTCTTTGCGCTTCTTCTGGATAAACTTGTCTGTATAAACATAGCAATACCCGATGAGTAACTCGAACCACCAGCGAGGTTATCTTCCTCCTTACCGAACTTGATGAAAGCGTATGGTCTCGCGACAGTCGTGACCACGTCACGCCAGTTGTTGCCACTGTCACGTTCCAACTCCTCGACGAAGCCTGCGTGCACCTCTACGAGATACAAGAAGGCCAGACGTTTGGGAAATCCTCGATCTGCCAGCGTCAAATAGCATACCCCTTCCTGGATCAAGTAGCTGAACGGCATCAACAACCCATCGTTAGCTAGAGTAGTCTTAACGATCGCGCTTCTCTCTGACGTACTGAAAGGTGTAAGCACCCGACTCGATGCTGCACTTGGTGGGCGCGCGTTGATCCAATCGTTTCATGATCTGTTTAGCCTGTTGCTTGTACGTGTCCAAGTTCCCGTTTGCGTCGCCAATAGACTCCATTGACGCGACCTGTAGCGCAACACCGCCACAAAGTGAGCCCGTTGCGTTGAATGTACTGTCGACGAGAAAAAAAAACGGAGCAGCGAGACTTCTACAGTGTGTTGGCCAGGTATCCCTCTGTTGAGGGAACGGTACGCACCAGTAACATGCCGTCCGAGACGCGCGCTACGAAGGTGATGATCGGCATGGTAGAACGAGATGTGTTTGTCTTCAATTGGGTTTGCTTCGTGGCATCACCTGTACAAAGAGATCCTACTAAAACGAAGGCAAGTTACTGCAAACCGTCTCGCGTGGTGTACATAAATAATCGCTTGTCAACAAAGCGATAAAATGTCGACTGGCCCGCCGTACTCGGCTGCGCAGGTGGACAACTGTGCGTTTGCGGCTTGGTATCCGCAGCTGAAGCGCGTGTGTATTAAAGGCGAAGTGATTCCGCTGTCTTCTGCGTTCGTTTCCCTGCTGCTTGCAGACGGAGTGACGCTTTCATCGGCTCCAGTGGCGTCGGGGATCGAAGATGAAAACGAAGACGAAGAAGATCCATTCAGTGCTCTCGCGGACGAGCAACTGAGCGTCGTTTCGACAGTTAGGAAGCAGGTGGAGCAGGTGCTGCAGGAATTTGGCGGCAAACTCTTTCCCAAGACCAACTGGAGCGCACCCCGGGACGCGGCGTGGATGCTCGGTTCGCTGAAATGCACGAGCTTCGAGGACGTGTTCCTGCTGCTGCAGGCCTCGGACTTTGTAGTGCACGACCTAACGCAGCCATACATTGGATGTAGCAGTGAAAACGACTACAAGTCGCCGCCAGAGAGCTATCTGGTGCTCAAAAAATGGTGCAACTTCCTGGACTCGATGCTGTTTCGGTGCTTCGTCGTTGGTCATCGTCTTGTGGCGGTCTCACAGCGTAACTGTGACGAGTTTTACGAGTTCTTACCGGACCAGCAGGACGAGCTCTGTGAGCTCCTGTATGATTTCTACAAGATGAACTTCCGAAAGGCTGACAGAGAGTTTGTGTTCCCGGACCCTAACTACAGCTTCGATGTGTACGTGGACAAGCGTCGACGCGTCTACCTGTTAGATATCAACGTATTCGGCGCTGTTGCGGATACGCTGCTCTTCTCATGGGAAGAGCTGCTGGAATTCCAGACCATCAGCCCAGCGACGCCCCTGGACGAAGAAGATGAGCACCATGTTGTCGATTTCCGAGTGGTCGAGTCCAAGAAGGGGATCCGGGCGAACCCTCAAAGTGGGTATCGTGCACCGACGGACCTTGTGGACCACCTTGCAGGTGGCGCCGGCTTCGAAGCCTTCATTGAACAGGTCAAGCGCGACAACGCCGCTAAAAGTGAAAGTAGTGACGAGGAGAATTAGAGGTTGGTACGTGCAGCACTGGCCTGAGCAGTTCATGTTTGTATAAATTAGAGAACTTTTCGTACTTTTTGCTTAAGTATGCCTTTCACAGCAGTACGCTTGCAGTCGCCACCTTCCGATTTGATGACACCGGATCTCGTCTTCAAAAATCAACGTCCGTCCTGCCGTGCTATGTGCCACATCTGGATGCTCCATTCTCTTCTGCAAGCAGCCAGCAGCTCATACCAACCCAACCAAATATGTACGCAATCCAACCATTTCCACAATCTACAGAATTGACGACACGGAAGAAGACTACGCTCGTCTCGATCCTCGTGTGTCGTCACTCGCTGTTACATAGCTTAATCTCGTCAAAAATCGACCTAGAGCTCGTACGAGCCACGTGCCGAGTCGTTGTCATCGTGGTGGTCCGGGAAGTCGTCATTCTTGTTGTTGCTGTGGCCGCTGAGCTGGCTGCTCTGGTCTGCGTCGACGTTGTGGTTCGACGAGAGCTCGTAGCTGTTGTGGCTGCTGTTGCGTGACGAGCGGGGAGACTCCTGCGCGCTCAGATACGAGTCGTTGTCCTTGGGTTCCATGGCGCTCAGCCACAGATTCGTGCCGTTCGTAGCGTTGGGGTTACCAGGGTCAGTCTGTACCGAGTCCACGTTGGCCTCCAGTCGGTTCATCGAGTCCGGTGACGTCGCCGCGTTGTCGTAGAACTGAGAGTAGGCGGCACCTGCTGCCACGGTATCCGCCGGGGGCGTCCGAGTATTCGAGCCACTGGCCGAGACGCCAGTTGTACCCATTGCTCGCGGGTTGTACGAGTTCTGGGCGGTAAAGCCACCTGGTGTGGGGTTGTAGCCCTTGTCCATGGAAAGCTCGAAAGGAGAGAGTGGGTCGTCATCTGCCTCGCGTCTTCTGCGAATAACACACATGATGATGGTGGCGATAATGGCCACAGCAGCGACAATGCCCACCACAATCCCGATCACGGCGCCTGTGCTCATACTCGAGTCTGACGAAGTGTCCGTATCGGCACTGGCGCTCGAGCCCGAGCTCGATGCCGTCGCAGTATCGGTAGCTGACGGCGTTGCCGTCGTGTCCGACGCCGTAGAAGAAGTAGATGACGCCGCTGACGTAGCCATAGGAGCCGCCGTAGTCGTGGACGGTGTCTCCGTCGTGTCCGTCGTCGTCGTGGGCGTGGCAGTCGTCGCTTCGGGCGTAGCGGTGCTAGACGTCGGTGTGGCGCTTGTAGCGTCCGGCGTCTCGGTAGTCTCAGTGGTTGTCGAGGGTGTTTCCGTCGTAGGCGTGGGGGAATCCGTGGTAGGTGTTGGCGCCGCTGTCGTTGGAGTTGGAGCTCTAGTCGTTGGCGTCGCAGTTGTTGGAGTTGGCGCTGTCGTTGTCGGCGTGGCGGTGGTAGGGGCGGGGGCTGTGGTCGCTGGGGCCTCGGTAGTGCCGCTACCGCTGGTCTGTAGATGTCTCCTCAGCGCTGGAGTCAGCTTGACTTCTTCGCCCACGACGGGCGCGAAACCAGCTTCCTCATTCAGCGCCGAGACTTGCTGAGAAGCGACGACGGTAAGGCCCGATGTGGCTACGCACGCGATAGCGAGCGCCGACGCGAGAACGGGGGCGATCTTCATGGCGGGCAGGGACCTGAGTAGACGGGGAATGTGAAGCGCTCCTGTTGCTGATCTGGCCAAAGACTTGAAGTAAGTATGGTCGGGAAGAGAACGAAAGCGTGCGCGGAACCTCCGAATAAAGTGAGAATGGCTGTGGACGACAGAAGCAGTGGACGGTTTTTGATGTGTGGTACACAAGAAGGGATAGGGAACCTTCATTACTCACGCCTGGCGAGCTGCGTTTTCTGTCACGTGGCGCACAGAACCGGTCCATATACACCATTTTCTCAGAAAAATGAAAACGTTTAGAACGTTGTATCTCGATTTTTTAATCGTTTTAAGAGACGAGCGTAATGGAAGTACTGTAGAAGTAAACCGGTATTTATAGTTGGTATGTGTGCTTCTTCGTCATCCATAACAACTTTATTACTTGGCTGAGCCATTCGGTAGATGGAAGCTCCGTCAACTACAGAATGGATGCATGTCCCCACTAGCACAAAGACAAAACCGCAATAAGTTTCCGTCCTTCGTAATAGAAACGCCGGCCGTTGCAGTGCAACTTGCACCCATCTCGACAAAAACCGGTCCATTCATGGAACTACATTCTTCACTACTTCAAGTGACAACGTAAGTGTATTGCAACTATATCCGTCCACTTGCACTTTTCCTGCTGCTGATAATACCTACCGACGGTATCTGTGGCGCTTGAAATTGAAATAGAGATGAAGAACTCCGCGCTCGAACACGCTCTTGAAGCCGCGTTTGTGCGAGTGTTCCCACTCGCGGTTGACGATCTTGAAAGCAATATCCTGATATGGTGGGCCAGCAGAGAAGCGAATGATGCAGAACTCGTCCGAGTTGGTCTTCTCCAAGAAGAAACGCGGCGCTGTTTGCTTGTCGATGAGGTCAGGGTAAAAGAGATCGAACTTGTAGCCCTGCACAGACTTTGGCGGCGGGTTATCCCGGTCGTAGTGCGTCTGGTTGTACTTGTTCCAGTCGTAGCCCGTCTTGACGCGGTTGAAATAGCGAGGTTTACGCGGCTGGTACTTTTCGCTCCAGCGCGGAGCTGTCTTTGAGTCAGCCAGCACCACTTCTTCCGACGCGCCGAGCCTCTCTTCCTCTTCCTCAAGACCTTTGCGAGCAAATTCCTTCTCCATTTCACGTGCCTCACGCCCCGCATCACGACCGTTTTCATCTACTATGCCGTGTTTCGCGTCTTCGGCTGCACGAGCCGCAGCCTCCTCGGCCGTGCGCCTCTCGTGCTCTTCCATTAGATCAGCCAGCTTGGTCAGCATATCTTCGTGCAGCTCAGTGAGCCTCGCACGAGCTTGATACACCTGGATCTGCTGCGCTACTTCCTCCCAGAAGTCGACATCCACCCCTGTCGCTCCATTCGAAGCACTAGCAATAGTCTCCTTCACTTCACCTTGCAACTTGATCAACTCCTGCTTATCCTTACCGCCCAGCATCTCCTCAATGGTCTCATTCACCGAGTCATGGATCGCTCCTCTACCTGCTTGTCCTTCACTCTGCGACCTCTTCAAGCGTCGAATCCGATCTTCACACACGAGTTTCATCAGCTTCCAGAACTCGGCGTTATGTCCTCCATTGCCGCTCTCCTCCAGCTCTTCATAGGTACGAACATCCTCCTGCAGCTCCTTAAGCTCGTCCATTGACAACACCTCTACAACGGCGTGAGGACGTCTGTGCTCCACTCTAATGTGTCCGATTTCCTTCTTGAAAAAGTCGTCTTCATCGTCCGCGCCATGTTTGGCCGATACTAAGAGCAAGTTCTTAGCCAGTAGATCCACGGGTTTCTCCCGGTTGGCCCGAATCCGTAGCTGGCTGCGCACTTTGGCCTGCTTAAGATGGAATTGCTCCTCCTTTTGTTGCCAGTCTTCGTACTGCTCAGCGTCTTTGAGACGCATCTCTTCGCTCTTCAGCCGCTCCATCTCCTCCCGCTCGGCCTCGCGTTCCTCGCGGCGTTGTCGGGCTTTGCGGATATCGTCTACACGTCGTAGCTGCTGCTTCTTGAGCTCCCTGGTCGTGGGTTTTTCTTTGCCTTTACCCTCATACTTCTTGCCCCATACGAAAGGCTGGCTCAGACTCGAGTCCCCGAATGGGTTCGTCTCGTCCGAGTAGCCTAAGCTCGCTAGCATCTTAGCAGATTTCTTGCGCGCCTTACGCTCGGCACGTGTCTCGGACTCGCTGTCAGAGTCGGAGTAGTGGCGATGACGTTTCTTGTGTTCCTTCTTCTGCTTCTTTTCACGGCGACTCGACACGCTGCCGTCGCCCGCCATCGCTTCCGAGGTCACAGTTCTTCAGCGGAGACCATAAATGGGTTCAATGAATGAAAGGGAAACAAAACGGCCCAAAATCTGCACTCAGAATAACCTTATGGGAAAATTCAAAAAGCTACCAAAAGTGATCAAAAGTGAATTAATGGAGCGCCACCGCGGAAGTGACTCGAGTAGCCGAAGTGAGTGTGCAGGTGAACGAGGAAATGGCTTAGCAATACCGGTAATGTCTTTTCAGAGAAATTCGTGTATTTAAAAATGGTTCATTTTACGGGTGACACCCCTCCCTGGTGGGGAACGAGTGTCCATATCCACCATCATAATAAAAGCACTACAATCAATCTAGACTTGTTGGACATAACCCAGCGGGTTGCGGCAGGGACGGAGATCGCGGAGCAGTGTGTTGATCTGAGCAGTTCACTTAAGTGATAAGACGTACGAGGCGAGCAGGCGGTGCTCCCAAGAAGTTGTGTCTGCTGCCTATTCAGCAAAACTAAAAGTGAGAAGAGCTTTGGCGGCAGCTTTGCTGCTCTCTAACACGCTCAACCTATCAAACTGCCTTAGTATAACATCTACGCAAACACTGCCACTCAGAAGCTTGTCGTCAAGCACGATTGCAAGCGCTAACCAGCAGCATTGACGTACTGCCAATTTAACACTCCCCCGCAGTGCGAACCCAGTGCTGCTGCCTTGCTTCGATCTTGATCTTCCTGCACTCTGGCTACCCCGATCCTCGGATCTCATCAAGCCACCACCAAGTCTGCCCAAACGTTGAAGCTCTAGACCGTCTTGGTTCTTGATCGTTGCACATCATACAGACCTCAGTGAAATATATGAGCACCTTCACGTCCAGCTTCCCCAAGCTACCCCGCTTTGCTGGCACCAGGCTTTATCTCTTCGTCTTCATTCAGAATCTTGGAAATATGCATCCACAAACCTTCTGCTGCGACTTCTTCACTGTCATACAGCATTATCCTCTCTACAGCACCTTCATCTTCTTACAAGATGCTCAAACTGCTCTCGTGCAAGCCCCTTCGTCATCATGTCTGCCACATTTTCCTTTGACATCACATACTGCAGCGCCACTTCCTCGAGCTGCACGTGCTCCCGAATGAAATGGTATCGCACATCAATGTGCTTAACTCTTGTGTGACGCGAAGGGCTCTCCGCGATTGCAATGCAGGAATGATTGTCGTCATTCACCACTGTCGCAGGCTGCTCGTAGCCAAGATCTTTCAAAAGCTGCCGCAGGAACAAGACTTCGCGTGTGCAATGCGCCAAGGCCACCTATTCCGCTTCCGCAGTAGACTACGCTACAATGCGCTGCTTCCGTGAGCTCCAAGTCACCATGCAATTCCCAATCATCGTCACGTATCCTGATACAGATCTACGGTCATCTTCGCACCCCGCAAATTGGAGTCAGTGAACGCCTTACTACCGCATCGCCACTAAACTCCAATCCATGATCAAGCGTGGCTTTTAGATAGCGAATGCATCGCTTTACTGCCTCCCAGTGAGCCCCCTCATAGTTCGCCAAGTATTTGCTCACATCTTGAACAGCAAACACCAAGTCAGGCCGACTACCAATCATTTGATACATCAGGCTCCCAACAGCCTGCCGAAATGACTTCTTCAGCATCTTAGCAGTTTCTTCTTCACTCATCGGAGCCTGTAGCTTCGTCAGCTTCTTTCCTGTCGCTGTAGGCGTCGCCACACCGGCGCTATGCTCCATGTTAAACTTCTTCAGAATTGCTTCGGCGTTACTCCGCTGGCTGATCCACAGCTACCGAGCCGCACGATCCCGAGTGATCTTGAGGCCGAGAACAAAACTGACTTCATCTAAGCCCTTGGCTTTGCATGCTCCACTGATAGACTGCTTAAGTTTCTTCATCACCTCCGCAGTCTTGCACAGTAGCAGCAAATCATCCACGAAGATCGCCACTATCTCCAGCTCGCCATGGCTTTTGCGCACATAGATACAAGACTCGCAGGACAGCTGTTTAAACCCCTCCTTTCTCAGGAATGAAGTCAGAGCTTTGTGCCAAGCTCGTGGAGCCTGTTTCAGTCCGTATAAGCTTTTCACGAGCTTGCACACCCACTCTTCTTTGCCGTCAATTTCCGTTCCTTGTGGCTGCTTCATGAACACTTCTTCCTTGAGGGTCCCGTTGAGAAATGCGGTTTCGATGTCCATCTGATGGCACTCCAATTCCTCAATGCAAGCAATGGCCAGCAATACTCGCAGCGACTCAAGCCGAACTACCGGGGCAAAGATCTTGTCATAGTCGACGTACTTCACTTGCTGACAGCCAAGTAGCACTAGCCGGGCCTTGCGTCTCTCAATGGTCCCACCACTGTTGTATTTTGTCTTGAACAATCATCGACAAGAAAGTGCTCGTTTACCGGGTGGTAGTGTTATCACTGTCCACGTCTTGTTGGCCTTTAACGAAGTCATCTCCTTGTGAATCGCCTCTTTCCTCTCACCAGCATCGGGTCTCGCCACTGCTTCATAGTATGTTTTTGGGTCAGACGAGATCCCAGTGGCCACCAGCTTCCCAAGTTGCATGGTTCATATGTCTTCTCCAGGTGTTCGAAGATCTCGTATGCGTAGCGCTTGTTGCTCACAGCCACCACCATTTCATCTGACAGCATAGTCATTAAGAAAGCAGTAGTTTCGTTCTCGCGATTTTAAGAATACATCTCTGCTTGGAGTAGGGTCTTCACACGAGCCTTCCATGGAGCATACTTATCCCATTAAAGTTCATATCCGAGGTCCCCTTCATGATTACTAGATAACAGTCTCAAAAAGTGTGTCTTAGCGTTTGCTTGTTTTTCACACTTACCCTGCTGTTTTATATATATTCGCATCTCCCGTTACTTCTGGGATAAGTACGATCCTATGAAAAACAGTTGGCTACATTTGTGGCCCAAAAATTTAATTATAGAGGCTTCTACCCAAGAGTCGGTCTATTTCAGCGACACCTGGGTTCTGCCTATACTGTAACGGGGTACGTAGCCCTAAGTGTACCCTGGTTACATGAAGTGCGACACTTCACACTTCAGGTGTATGACACGTCATACTCCGGGATATTTGGTACAAGGTACCAAGGTCGTCCATTGGTCAAACGACATTGCATTTCTATAGGTAACTTATAGTTTGTATTAAACCCAAACTTAACCTACCTATAAATATACTCAGTTTACAATCTACCTTATTTAGGTCACTTCGCTCTCTTTAACTAAAGAGGGGACCTGTGAACTGCCGTTCACTGAGAGTTTGTATACTCTCGGAAGATAACTTCCTCTAGCGCAAGGTGCTGTGTGACCCCGTCACACTTGGTAGCACTTGTAGTCAATCCACGCCACCGCGGGTAGACTACCTGAACCTCTCCGAAGTTCGTTGCCATGGATAGGAACGACTTCTCCCATATGAACGACTCTCAGTTCGAGTTGGTTCGGAAGATGGCAGGCATCGTCGGGATGGAGGCCCTGCAGAGCCTGGTGGTGTCAACACCGGCTGAGCAGCTCGAGCGCGTCAATGCATTCGACGCGTACGAGCAGGGCCTCATCGCGCATGTGCGGGAGAACCTGCAGGCTCCGGCGGCGGAAGCAAATCCGCCTCACCCGAAGCCAATACGGCTGAAGGTTAAGCCGTATGAAGGAAAGGAAGGCGAGAACCTTCACTTCTGGGTCCGAGAAGTAGAGCTCGCGATGGACGCGGCTCTGATCTCGACCGAGCAACTGCGTGTTGCTTTTGCACTCTCCAACCTTAGCGGCCGTGCTAAGAGTTGGGTGTACACACGGGAAGCAACATCCCCTGGATGTTTCACATCCTGGGCTCAGCTGTACGAACGGCTCCGAGCCGCGTTCCTCCCGGCGAACTACGAGTACCGCCAGCGTTCGCTCTTCCTCTCGTGTAAACAAGGAAGGCGCGAACTGCACGAGTATGTGCAAGAGATACGGGAGCTCACGGCGTCCCTAGTGGGACCCACTCAGCGAACACATCAAGATGACTGTGTTCATGGACGGCCTTCGAGTGGGCCCCGCACGCACTCAGCTGTTCCGGGTGCAGTCAAGCACTCTTGAAGAGGCGATTCAAGTGGCTCTTCAAGAAGAGTACAGCCATCGCCAGGCGCGTACGCCGGCCTCAGCATGGCCTGGGAGTTCTTTGTCGGCTCCCGGCCGAACAAGCCCAAACGGACCAGTTCCCATGGAACTTGGGTCCGCCGAACAGCGTGACATCCGCTGCTTCGGCTGCGGGAAGATGGGCCACTTCAAGCGCGACTGTCCTGCGGAAAGACTCCGCTGACGGTCCTTTCCCAAGCCCGTCCTCAAGGGTCGCTGGCAGAAGCCAGGATCCCGGGGACAGGGGAACGCTGGGAACCAGTAGGGGCGGGGCGCCCTACTGGGGAAGAACTAAGTCTTCGTGATGGGTGCGCGGGTGGCGCGTACCACGGGGACTTAGCCCCTGAGAGTCTTCGCACTCTCGAATCGGCGAAGAGCAGCGGCGGGTTGCTCGTAGTACACGGATGTGTACGGGGATACGATCATCCCTTTAGAATCTTGATCGATTCTGGGGCGTCGAAGAATTTCGCACGCCGCCAGACGGTTGCTCGCAACAGCAACAAGCTGTCCGATGCTTTGAGAGAAAGCAAGGGCAACGGGACGGTGTCAGTGCGACTGGCCGACGGGAAGGTCGTCACTGTCCCCAACGTCCAAGTGGATCTGGCGTCAAGTTTGAAGACTTTGACAGCCTCGAGCAGCTCAGTGTTCTCGATATGGATCCATATGATATGATCCTGGGCATGCCCTGGCTTGAGAAGCACGATCCCTGGATCGACTGGCGAGGTAAGGCAATCGGTGCCAGCCGCCCTGCGCAGTCCGACAGAGCATTGGTGAGTCATGTTCCCACCTCTGTCAGGACCCGGGGCGCCCGCAAGGGCTGCCAGGGTACCAAAGCATTCGGCAGATGCTTGGGAGTCGTCGACGTATATGACGACTCCGAGGATGCTTTGATGGTGGCAGCGCCCAGAAGAGGCGCTGG